TCCTCTTGGAAGCGGCACGGGAATCCTCTGCGGTTGGAGGGCGCCAGAGTAAGCAAAGGAGCAAAACAGCCAATCCTCGCATAAAGATGGCTGCATTGTTTTGAATCAGCGTTCTGACGGACGATTCCTTTTGGCCGTGCGTTCGTGGGACTGTGATGAAGGATCGTAAGCCCAAGTCAGCACCTACACTTCGGCAGGATTGAGCAGGAACCTATGAAGAGGACATCTCGTTCGACCGAATGACTGTATGCAAGACCGTTGGCTACCGTCCAGATTGAGCGACACGCGACCCCACGAACCCAGGTTCAGGGGAGAGGGGAACGGTCGGAGACGCCGTGAGTCGGGTCCGATGGAGAAAGACCTTGACCGCCGTCGTCTCTCCAGTCATGTCATGTCATCTGACAGACCCGGTTGGAGCGCGTAAAAAGAATCAAAGTTCAAGAGTCATAAGGCTGAGCGAAGGCCAGGAATGCAGGTAGACGTCAGTGGACTGTCCATACGGGACTTGCAGTATGCGAACATGTAGACGTTTGACAGAGTCGCTCCCGCAGATAGACAACTCTTACGAGGTTTCGGTCAAGATTGGCGAAGGGGTGGCAGATGCTCCATACTGATATGGTACGCTTGAAGAGCACTTTTCCCTCTTCGGAGACGGGCGGGCAGCGGCGACAGCTGTTACTAGGGGGTGTGACTGTGGACGGGATGGGGCGGCGGGCTCGGGTTCTTCGTGGAGTTAAATTTAGAGATGCTACTGGCGCTAGTGGCGCGCCTTTAACTGTTTTCTCCAGGGGATCGCCTGGGTGATTCTTTGAGAATGTTGGCCCGTTGTGCCAGCCTGCTAGCGTTCGTTCCGGGATGATGGGATGCGACGGTTCAGGCCTGGAGGGGATTTTATTTTGGTGACTTTTCGATGCCGGTAGTCGTGGAAGCTGGTTCTTGAGGCTCCGAGAGTTGGGGATCTTGCAGGATCGGCTTGGATATGTCATCGATGATCGGATAGGCGCGACAAGGTACCTGCGCGGCGAGCGGCTACTGGTCGTACAGAAGACATGCGTGTTTGCAATTCGATCCCGGTGACCACACTCTCAAGCTTTCTGCCTCAGTATGTTGTGATACCTGTCAACTTCCCTGACGGCGCGGCATAGTCTCTGATGCAAGCCTTTGCTGCAAGCCCTGCGCCTTCTCCACGCCCAATGTGGGGAGGCATCAGACTGCACAAAGCTCATCATGTCGATAAGCGCAATTCCCAAAGGCGAGCCCTATGTACGAATAGTCTCCACGGATACCAGCATCAAAAGAGTCTGGCATGATAGTGGCCCAGTCGATGCGATGGAGAACCCAGAAGTAGGTGGGCTCAGTGACGTTTCGGAGCCGGGATCGGCCTTCCTCGCCGCGTTCTGAGCAAAGGGAAGCCCGAGCTCCTTTCGATGCCATCAGCAGGCTGAAAGGATTTACATCAAATGGTGTTGTTATGTGGACTCGGAGCAACAAAGTGGTCTGCCGAAAGGGCTGAGATGCGGTTCAATGCCGGGTTGACGAGCAGAGACCACAGCCTATTGTCGATGTTGGCTTGCACAGCCACCGCCTGACAGCCTGGGAGGGTGGTTTGAGGCAACCCGACCAGCTGGATACGAGTGCCCACTGCCAACGAAGGTTGGCCGCTGCACAGCGCATAGAACGTGGAAGAGTCCGGGATACTCCGGGCCGCCGTTCAGTCGATGGTAGCCCTCCCTTAGACGACTCGGGGCTATGGAACGTTGCGGCGGCTGTGGCACGGGGCGGCCGTATCCTCCTTCTGATTCTCTGCGGCAGCGCGCTTCCCTTCGGTCCAGTACCGAGGCCAAAGTTGAAAGGCAAAGCGTTTTCTTTCGTGTTGTGAAATGGCGCGTGATGAGCGGTAGCCCCGTGTTCGTCTTGGCCCCTGGCCGTACAGCGGAGAATTATGAAGATCCCTGGAGTATTTTCGGGGCATCGGCACGCAGTCTGAAGTGGCTAAGAGAAATTGTCACGGTAAAAGCATTCGCGCCGGTGGTGGAGAGACAAGGGGGAAGCTGTTAGTCGGCGAATGACAAGGTTGTGAGATCTCAGAAAGATGAAATGAGTGTATCCGTATCGTACGGATATATATTAGAAATGAGGGTGGGAAAAGGGGCGGGCTGCACTGTGACCGGGCAAAGAAACTCTTGTCAGCCCCCCCCCCCCCCCCCCGGGCCGCCCTTTGTTTCGAACCGTCAGGCTGAAGTCGGTTTGGACAGGTTCCGGTTCGCGATAGGTCAGAACTGGCGATGTGGCTTGGCTGCTTGGTTCTTGGAGCACCAGGTTGATGGACTTTGTGGGATAAACGGGGCACTGCAACAGTCTACTCTTGGGGATGGAGTTGGCTGACGGTGGCCGCGGGGCTCGGTGTATCACAGGAGGCGGGATGAAGAAGTGAAGAACCTGGGCCTCTGAAAACTTGATCATTGGTATCACCGAAATGAGCGCGGAGAACAACCTGGAAGTACAAAGACGCGCTGGACCAAACAAAGGGTTGAGGCTCCCTCAAAGGCGCTGAGAGAGCATACCTATCTGCTCCTGCATTGCTGGGCGCAGCATTGCTTACTCCTCCGTTATGCGCGCGCGCAAAATGTGACCTAGGCGTACGAAGTATTGCTGCATAGCGAGTGTACTCGGTAGATGCAGGGTCTTGGTGTGGCATCCAGCGACGACAGGGTTCCTCGTGAGCAACGCATCCGAGCAGGGGTTACCTATCCGAACGTAGAGTGCCAAGGTCTGACGATATGCTGCGGTGCCAAGTTAAGGTGCGCTAGGTTTTGGAGGGGGATCTCCCACTGGACGAGCGAGAGTTTGGCCTCGCAGCGGGAAGCTCACGGCCAAACAAGGCGCCATCGTCGGGCAACGGGGCCCCGAGATTATTCTTGTCTTGCTGTGGTATTGTTGTTGACCAGGGCAAGTCGGGTTGCTGAGTCGAGTCGAGCGCGGGGGTTCGATCGAAGCTGGAGACCGCCAGTCCGTCACTGAGAGAGTCAAAGTTTTGAGAGAGAACGACACGGACCGGCTCACGGATGCGCCGCAGGGATCACCGCTGCTTCATCTGCTGAGTTGTTGCAGGCACCGGCCATCATCAGGTGGACGTACGACGGCGGCAGGCTGCAGTGACTGTCCATATGTGCCCTGGTGTCTGGGTCTTGGAGCCCCCCTGCAGTGAACACAGACTGTAGTGCCCCTTATTTTGTCAGGCGAAGGAAGCATGAAATTCATTGCCCTGCTGGCTTGATACTCGATAAGACACATCTCGATTGATATGCTGAACATGTCTGGCTTCCCTGGAAAGCCGAGGAAGCAATCCGTCTCGATCGTGGTTGAACAGCTTGTCGAACAGCAGCGGCACCACCTTTTGTCTGCTAGCGGACCCCCTGCCATGTGCCCTCTCGGAATGCTAGCGAAGGAACAAAGAAGGCGAGCGGCTGGTTGACAACAGGAAGCTAAGCCTGGCTGGCTGACACATTGCTGGACGTTGCCTCCAAGTCATCCCGAGGAATGGTTCGCCTCGTGGCAGCAGCTCTTTGGAATGCGCTGGAAACGGCCCGGTCAAGTCGAAGAAGCCGGCGGCAACACGATGTGCAACGCAACGTCACTCGTGGACGTGGTGGTGGCAGTCGAGGTGCTGAGTGTTGGGGCGAGTATGATGGAACCTGATGCAGTGGAATTCCGCGCGCTTCATCACGAAGCGTAGCGAGGTGTCTCTTCGTGTTCCATGTCAATCATTGCTGATCATCCGACGTCCCAAGTGGTCGTTGCCAGGAGAATTGTGCCTGATTGACCGTGGGCCTTGGTCCGCAATGATGTATCCGTACGAGAGATATCCCTCGGTGCTCCGTACAGTACAACGTTGTTGCAGGCAAAGAAAGCAGCGCAGCGCAGCAGCAAAGGTACATTTGGAAAGTACTTCTTAGTCAGATTCAATATGAGGTACGTACCGATGTGCATCCATGGTCCGTCGCTTCCAATGACCTGGGCGCGAGTGGCAGAGTGCCGTCCAAAGGTGGTGTGTCTCCTGCAGCCTTTGCTCATCCCTCAGGAACGGATGGCAGCTGCTCTCTAGATCCTTGGACGCATCTCTTTCTTCTGTCTCTCTCCCTCTCCCGCGCTTCTCCGACTTCCATCAACTCTGCCATGGCCGCTAGTTGGCGATGCCTTCCACTCGGAATAGACTCTAGGAGTCAATCCCTCTCAATCTCCCCTCCTCTGCCTTACCGAAAGGAGATCCCGGGCGGAAAAAGAAAGCAGCGCCACTCCACCCGCTGCCTTTCTTCTTTCATTGGGCCATCTATGCAGGTGCAAATCAACCCTTTGCTCGTGGGAGGGACTTTGGGGACTTTGGGAACAAGCAACAGAAGCAGCCCACTGACATCCCCAGTCCAAGTCCACCTTGACTTCTCACTTCATGGATCCTCAGTCCTCAGTTCCTCAATGCTCTCCGTGTTCTTCTTTCTGGCCATGCCGCCGACAACGAGTCACCAGTCACAAGTTGCAACTCCCCATACTCTGCCCTCACAAGTTGATAGTTGTGCGCACACACTCAAACAACTCGTCCTGGTACAACAATAGTGAACGGTCCCATCACTCCCAGTCACTCTGACCTTTCTCCCAAGAGCTAAGGGACCAGGGGGGGGTGTCGATGGTTCAGGCTCAAGAGTCGAGGCTTGGCCGATGACCCCCCTCCCCCCCTCCCCCCCTTCCCAGGACACTAGGCAAGTGCAGGGTCCTGAATAAGGTACGAGGTCGTATTGATTCGCCCAGCTCATGGAGCGTGGGCCATGGTCCATGGAGACACATCCCACCCCCGTCCCGTCCATCCCAGGGACCAAGTCAACAAGACAAGAGAGAACGAGCCATGGCGCGCGCCTTTGCCCTGGTCTGTCCATGGTCACCGGTCCTTAGTGCTTGGTGCTACTTGGTCTTGGTACTTGTTGTTGGTGTGGTTGCTACTGTTCTGCCTGGCCGGCCCTGCTTGGTGCTGCTGTGCCTCATCTTGTCGAGTCCAAGTAATAAAACCATCCTCCCCGTTCGTGTGTTTCTACCGCTCTACTTCGTCCTCACCTACTCTTATTTTGCTTCCCCACGAGCTTCTACCTCTTGCCTTTTCTTAGCTTACCTGCCAGTCCCTCGTTAATCGGCATAGCTTTTCATTATTTCCACACCCTCACTCCTCCTCAAACCACGTTCCAGCTTTCAGCTCCTTTAATACCTGTCAGCAGCCTCTGATAAATATCTCGTCACCTTCGACCCTTTTCTCATCAAACTCGCTACTCGCTTCTTCTCTCGATCGACGTATACGAATCACCGGCAAAATGTTCTCCAAGTTCTTCTCCGCTGCCACCGTGGCTCTCGCCGCTTCCACCATGGTCTCTGCCCAGACCTTCACCACCTGTGATCCCACCAAGAAGGGTATGTTTTTTCCGTCCCCGGTTATTTATACTACCGTTTTGGTGTCTGGAAATTTTTTTTTTAGCCTTGCTAACTGATCTACAGATTGCCCTGCCGACCCTGCCCTGGGCAAGTCGGTCAGCATTGACTTCACCAAGGGCAACGATGACTCCGTCTTCCGCAAGCTCGACGGCACCGCCGTGAAGTTCGAGGATGGCGGTGCTCTCTTCGCTATCAACAAGGAGACCGACGCTCCCACCATGGCCTCCAAGAAGTACATCTTCTTCGGCAAGATTGACGTCGTCCTCAAGGCCTCCCTCGGTCAGGGTGTCGTCACCTCTGTCGTCCTTCAGTCCGACGACCTCGACGAGATCGATTGGGAGTGGGTTGGTGGTGACAACGAGCAGGTCCAGACCAACTACTTCGGCAAGGGTGACACCAGCACCTACGACCGTGGTGCCTACCACGCCGTCTCCAACCCTCTCAACGACTACCACACCTACACCATCGACTGGACCCAGGACTCCGTCAAGTGGATCATCGATGGTGCTCTCGTTCGCGAGCTGAAGTACGCTGATGCCAAGGGTGGCGCCATGTTCCCCCAGACTCCCATGGAGGTCAAGATCGGAACCTGGGTTGCCGGCCGCAAGGACGCCCCCAAGGGCACCGTCGAGTGGGCTGGTGGCTACACCGACTTCACCAAGGGTCCTTACAGCGCCTACTACAAGTCCATCACCATCACCGACTACCAGGGCAACAAGGGTGTCAAGGGCGCCAAGGAGTACGTCTACGGTGACCGCTCCGGCAGCTGGGAGTCCATCGTCGTCAAGACCGAGGGCGGAAGCGACGACTCCTCTTCCTCTGCCTCCAAGACTGCCACCAAGACCGAGTCCAAGACCACCATGAGCACCGTCACTGCCTCCGGCTCTGCTTCCGCCACCGCTTCCAGCGACGCGTCCGCCACCGAGGATGCTGCTTCCACCGCCACTGGCTCCAGCTCCGGCTCCGGCTCCGGCTCTTCCGGCGCTTCTTCTGCAGGCACCTCTGCCGGCGCCTCCAGCACCCCCTCCACCGTTGCCGCCAGCTCCGGCTTCATGAACAAGGCCAGCCTTGCTCTCGGTGCCGCCGGCCTCTTCTTCACCTTCCTGCTGTAAGCGGGTTCTCCGGAACTCTTGAACGACCGTACATGCGCATAAAGACAACCCAAAAATCATTCCGTCCGGAGAGCGGATTGTACAACTTTTTCACCTTCAATCACGATCCTTATCACGACTGAACCACGCAGGCTCCTTTACGGATCGAGCGAGCAGTTGGGGCCAAACCTTGCGACATAATCTGGTACTTTTAATAATCACGCTCTCCCGCGGAACTCTTCCTCCAAAAATTTTTGAAGGAAGCTCTTCCGCGACGGCCTTGCCAATATTACACACGAGAGGAGGAAAGTCGAACAATGGGAATTGCATTTCAGATGGCGGATGCCCTTGTTTTTTTTTTTTTTTTTTTTGAAGCAGCTGGGGTGGTGTTTGCGGAAGATGGACTATGATACCTTTAGAGAAGAGTTGAAGACGCCTTGTGCCATTTCGCCGAGGTAGTCGAGACAAAACGTTGACAATCAAAAACCATTCAGATTTGAACACTTTTACCTGTGCCTTTCGATTTACGTGAGTCTCACATCATCAAAACTTAGGCTCAGGCTCGCATGAGAACTGTAGGGCGTAGGTAGGTGCCTTGGGTAGCGCGAAATCGGCAACCCAAAAACACCGCAGGTTGCAATCTCGCCGTGTTTGAAGTTGAGCAGCCCTGGCAAGGTCCCCCACCCGAATAAGAATTTTGACTCAAAGAGGAGAGGGGGGCCGGGGAGGGAGTGATGGATCCCAGAAATCGGATCCATTTGCCGCGCTCTACCTTATTCGGTATCTAATCTCCACCTGTGCACCAATTTGCCGCCCTCACCAAGTAAGACCCAAGCAAGGAGATTTTTCATGAGAGTGTCAGCACATGGCTCGATGACTAGTGTGGCAGTGTGCTGTGCGGCGTGCCTGGGGGCGCCGTCGGTGCCGCACGGGTAGCCTAAAATGCCTTTGCGCGTCTGATGTGATTCTAGCGTGGCGGGCACCGTTGGAGCCAAGAGAAGGATAATTTTTTTTTCCCCCCTTTTTTGAGGGGAGGGGGGAGGAAAGGAAATGGGATAAGTACCGCGCAGCAGTAAGAAGGAGCGCGGGATCTTGGAGGTTTAATCAAACTTGCTTGGGCCCAAGGATCTTGGTACGCGATCGCCTCTTGAGTCTCGTGTTATTGCGCCCCCTGCGGCACAATTGTCTCAATTTTTGAATGATATTTTTGCTTGGCTCCTCGCCCGGTTTGAGTGGTTTTTCCACTGAAGTCCTGCGGGAATAGTAAGATCCGTATGGATATGCTTACGCGCTTGCAGAGTTCATATTTTGATCCTTCTCCATCCGCTTTCTGTCACTACTGCGTATGGATACAGTAGTGTTGAAAGCGCAGCACTGGATCGTCGCCTGAAAATGAGGTTTCCTGAGGAGTCGTTGTTCACGAGTTGAATACCAATATAATCATAGCAAGGCATGGTTGATTATTGATGACCTTGCGGTATCCGTACCCAAATGCCTGTCTACCACTTCCAGAATCCAGACTTGAGGACCGTGCCGTCCGAACCGCCCAATCAAAACAAAAGTCCCATTTCTGTCCGGGCTGGCGAGCCCGCTGAAGCCTGGATGAGGAAGGGGGTTGACTGGTGACAAGCAGTGATTTGCCCCGGGGCCCTTGTTCCTCGGTACGTGTATTGGGTTGAATTTGTATTAACTCGGCGAGGTAGGAGAGGCGAAGCGGCCCGGGGTTTTCTTTGGATATTGAACCGGGGGAGATACGGTGGCCCGAGGCGGTGGCAGCGGAAGATGCCCGGGGCGAGTCGAAAGTCGAGACCCCTTATAAGGTAGGGACCAGAAGTGCGACTATTGCTCCAGGGAAGAAGAACCCGTTGTCATCGACGGCCGAGCGGTATACTCCTCAGTGCACCTTACCAAAAGCGAAGCCATAGCGGGTAGCTTCTCTTTTCGGTGCATTTTCGTGCCTAGTAATTTTGGTGACAGAGCGGTGCAACTCCCGGGATCGGTACCTACCTAGGTAACTACGCATCTACCTACCTGACAAGTCGTGGGTTGGAGCCGACTTTCCTCCCGACCTTCATCCTCTTCTTTTCTAAAGTCAATTGCCCCAAACAACGTATTAAAGCTGTGTAAATGTTTGTGATCAAGGCGTCAGGAAAACAATTACCATATCCGCATGGCTTCGGCAGTTAGCACCGTATGGACTCGGGCCCAGGTGTCACGCTGAGTGAAGACAGCAGCAAGAAGGAAGGAAGGACCACGTTTGACCCCCTTGGTACCTTCCGGTCGGAGGCTTAAATGACCTCCTGCCCTTCGGTAACGGAAGGTGGTAGGCACCCCGCTTGACCCGGCTCCTTTCTCCGTTCCTTCTCCGTTCCTTCTCCCGGAGTCATTAAAGTCTGCCGGCGCTGTGGGGCGCATCACCTCCGAAGCGCTGCCGTGCTAATTGGCGTGTGTGTGTGTGTGTGTGTGTGTGTGTGTGCGTGTGCATGTCTTAAATACACGGCACCGCAGCCAGCACGCACACTCTTCTGACATATGCAGGTACGGCGCACGATGATGTCGATATCGGGCTTGGCTAGCACCGGTCCGCCGTTGGAGGCGTGATGTATCATGTATCATGTAGCCGGCTCATCGGGTTTCGGTGGCAAGCAAAAAAAAAAAAAAAAAAAAAAAAAAAACCCTTACTCGCGAGAGGCCTTCGGGCGTAGCATTTCGGACCTGCCGCGCCGATCGGCCTCTGCCATGCGGATCTCGCATGGCTGCTGCTGCTGCTAGGAAATCAAGCAATGGCCCGGCGCGGGCGTCACCACCGACGATCGCGGCGCCGGTCCCCTTCTGACGGGTTGCGAACTTGCGATGACATGATAGCCACCAATACATTGTCTGCAAGGTTGAAGTCTTACGTGATTTTCGTGCTTGTTTTTATGCACCCACTTCGCGCATCTTATCTCACTATTGTGCCAAGGCATTTTGAGCTGGGGATTTCAATTTCTCGAGAGGTGGAAAGCATCTTATAAGTGAAGTACAGAGAATATTTCTCACCAAGCGAGGACGGTGACCGTGGAGTGTTTCCGAGACCGTTCCGAGGTTCCGCACGGCGTGGATAAGCGGTGATTGAATAAACCCTCACACCTGCGCAGCCGCCCGGGGAGCGAACACAACCCCATGGGCCACGGCTCCCGCATCTAGAATTCGGGATCAAGCTTTCGTATAGTACCCTGCTTCGCTTCGGTATCTCCCGGAACGGTAGACGCGGGATCTGGCAACCGCTCGGAGATAAGGGGGGGCCTTCGGGCATCTGCATCGTCGTTTGCGCAATCATCCGATGTCCTGACCTTTCGTCGGGTCCGGGAATTGTATGAATAGTTGGCACTCTACACAATAGGAGGGATGGAAGGGGTTGGTGGGACCTCGGCGGTCGGCTTGGGAGATGGACATGCATGATGCGGCAAGGGCGGAACACACGATAATCTAATCAAAGGGGGCGGCTGCAATAGAAGACATGGCCAAAGGTACGGTGTGTTGCAGCCTTGAGGAGAATGCATTAAATCGGAGTCAGATTGTTGCCACATGTGTGTTTTGAGGTCTTTTTTGGGGAAATAGAAGTCGGCGAGATAAGTCCGGCGGCTGCGTACTAAGCAGAGTTCCATCCTGCCCGCTGTACGGATACGGAGTACGAATACCTCTGTAATTCCGTGGTCCGGAAGGGACCCTTGCTGGGAACACGTTCAAACTTCACGGCATGTCTACCGGTATCTTGTCGGTGAGGTATCTCCCCGTCCTCGCACCGGTAGTTGTCAGACTTTTCAGCTCCCATCTTATCTCAGCATTGGCAGTAGACTAGAGTGATGGTAGAAAGATTGGCAGTGTAATTCTTGAGCTACTTCATCGGCCGGAAGATCAATGTCCTCCTGGGCAAAGATGAGAGAAACCTGAAGATCGATACACACAAACGACAGCAACAAAGTTGGACTGAACCGCGGCGGCCGGCGGGTCAACGGTGACGTGCCGATGGCCCCTGCGCGGCAGACTTTGTAGTTCTCCATAAAAATGCACGTTTTCTAGAAGCTCTGACAGAAGAAACCGAGACGGCGAAGGCCGGTCTACCGCCCATTTGACGGGAAGAATCCGCAGTTGACGTAAGGGCAAGGCCTTCGAGAGCCACAAAATCTCTTCAAATCCCAAACTGGACCTCCTCAGTCATCACTGAGATGAGGCTGAACGATTCAGCCAATCGTGTGGCTGCCAAGTTGGTTTTCCCCGTGGCCAGGGAAACAGGGGTGATGAGCTCTTCGGGATGAACTTGGATGGAGAACGTGGTGAAGAAGCCCAGAAAAGCTTTTTTTCTTCTTCTGCAAATCCCCTTTGGAGCGTTGTCTCAAACACCAGAGACTTGGACTCCAATTATTTCCTGTCTGTCTCGAAGTTCCGCCCCTCAGTTGCGGTGTGAAGCCACCCAAGTGCCGGAGAATACTGGAGTCGATGACATCAAAACACCACCTTTACTCGGGAGCGGCGGCCAAGCGAATCCCTGTGCTTGTTTCTAGGTACATACCTTTCTTCGTTATCTATTCGCTCTTTCGTAGGGGCAGCCCGCCTTCTAGCTGCCGCATCTGTGTATCCCTAGTCAGACGCGAGGTCGACGTGTTGAAGTTTTGAACAGCGGAGAGGGAGAGATCAGAGAGCCCGGACCCCCGCCGTGTAGAGGGCGATAGATACAGGATCTAGACGGAGTTCCAGATGATGAGAGAAGCCGTTCGCGCTGTTGCCGTCATTCAATACCGTCCCGACTACGCAGACACGGCCAGGGTCCCCCCGGCGACACTTGATAGTGTAATGTGTTCCCGCATACTATTAGATAGAGGGCAAAAGCATAACCTCCAAGATTTCTAAGCCAGATTTCCAGAGATACCCACCTCGACCGGCCCAGGCCCCATATCGGGCCGGCGAATCATGACGACGCATGTCGACCTTCTTTGACGTTCCGTGCTGGAAAGGTTCCCCACAACCACAGTCCACGACTCCACCCCCCTTCCAAATTGTTCAAACGGCGTCTCTCTGCGCCTCTGCCTCTGCTTTTCTGCATCAACAAAGCGTCAGTCAACGGGGTCTTCTCGACTGCCCCTTGGCCCTTGCTCCATCGATCTCGAACCGCGGCATCGAGCCGCACTTAGGCCCATCTAGTTTCCAATCTATTCCCAGTTCATTCCCGCTGTTTGACCCCACTCACGTTGCAGTTTTTTTCGTTCTGCCCTCTCGGTACAGTAGTACTTGCTGTTTTTTTGCGCAAAATTCCTCATCCAGGCTTTTCCAGCTTCATGGTTCCTTGGACGACCGGCGGCGTTAGTCCCCTCTTTCGCCGATGAGTTTAGGACTTAAGTCGTTTTACAAGATGGGGAGCTAAAGGTTTAAAAGAGGCGTGTCGTTCCCGCTTCTCGACGATACTATTCTACTCTGTACTCACAAGCTTCTTGTTCTCTTATATATAAGATCATCTCTTCTATACCAAAACAAGAAACACCCTTTCTTCAGATACCCCTTCTTCTTCCGTTTCTCACACCACACCACATCAATCACAATGGCCGCTACCGATTACAAGTTTGAGGGCTGGGTTGGCCTCGACGAGAAGTCCTCCGAGGGCAACATGGTCTGGCAGCAGTTTGAGCCCAAGGCGTGGGAGGAGAACGACGTCGATATCCAGATCACCCACTCCGGTGTCTGCGGCTCCGACATCCACGTCCTGCGCTCCGGCTGGGGCCCCGCCCCCTACCCCGTCTGCGTCGGCCACGAGATCGTCGGTGTCGCCGTCCGCGTCGGCTCCAAGGCCGTCGGCGGCATCAAGGTCGGCGACCGCGTCGGTGTCGGCGCCCAGTCCGACTCCTGCCTCGGCCGCCAGGGCCCCTGCGAGCCCTGCGAGACCAAGAACGAGCAGTACTGCCCCAAGTCCGTCCACACCTACGGTCACTTCCACTACAACGGCAGCAAGGCCATGGGCGGCCACTCAAAGTACCACCGCTGCCCCTCCCACTTCGTCGTCAAGATCCCCGACGGCCTCGAGTCCGCCTACGCCGCGCCCATGCTGTGCGGTGGTGTGACCGTCTACTCCCCGCTCAAGCAGCACGGCGCCGGCCCCGGCAAGACCGTCGCCATCAACGGCGTCGGCGGCCTCGGCCACATGGCCATCATGCTCGCCAAGGCCATGGGCGCCGACAAGGTCGTCGGTATCTCCCGCAAGGCCGACAAGCGCGACGAGGTCCTCAAGATGGGCGCCGACGGCTACATCGCCACCAGCGAGGAGCCCGACTGGGCCAAGACCTACGCCAAATCCTTTGACATTGTCATCTCCACCGTCTCCTCCGCCAAGGTCCCCATGCAGGACTTCCTCAACCTCGTCAAGCTCGACGGCTCCCTCGTCCAGGTCGGTATCCCCGACGACGGTGCCTACACCATCTCCCCCGTCCCCATGGTCATGCGCCGTGTCAAGTTCACCGGCTCCCTGATCGGATCCCCCCACGAGATCCGCGAGATGTGGGAGCTCGCCGCCAAGAAGGACGTCAAGCCCTGGATCCAGGTCCGCCCCATGAGCGAGGCCAACCAGGCCATCGTCGACCTGGAGGAGGGCAAGGCCCGCTACCGCTACGTCCTCGAGAACTAAGCGGGAGGAATTGTGTGTTACAACATGATTGAACCGTTTATGAGGATGCTGTATATAAGATGAGGTTGATGACATGACTTGGGTGCATAGAAAGGGCATAGCGATTGGTTACATTATAGACATAGAGAGATAAAATCTCAACTGAGAAGCTGACAGCTTCGCATTTCAAAATGATTTGGTTTACTCTCATTCGTGATTTCTGTGCATGCAAAACAAAACAAAAAAAACCTCATGTTTTCAAAGCTAGTAGTCGTTGAAATCACAGATTCGGAAAAGCTTCTGTGATTAATACAGTTGTCTGGAGTGACCTAGAGTAGCCATCTCTGGAAGATATTTAAAGAAGAATTCCCGGTGTGCAGCATCGGTGTGGTTACGGATGATGTCACGCCGCCTCGGTGAGGGAGTCACCGAGCATTCTGGCATGTGGGGAAGTGACCTGGTCCTACCACCACGAACATCTCACCTCAACTCGAGCACTTACACCTCTCCGATCAAGTTCAACGAGTTTTCTTACTGGCTTCACAGTTTCCAGGCTACTAATGAAATGATTGGATGATTGAAAGAAAGCCCCATATCAACCTCTCGCTTTGCCTTGTTGCCTGATGGCGAACGCCGCAAGGCTGCCTACATGCATACAGATATAAGCTGCCCAGAGAGTGTAAGTAACATGAGACATCTCACGAGACTCGGATATATCACCTCGACTCTCATGAGACCTTCTATTTCTTCATTCTTAGAATCAACTAGTTCGTGTCATCCACCCAAACATTCAAACACCATCCACCACTGACATACCCCAACCAAAGTCCCTCAACGCCCAATCTCCTTCAGGGCCATGGCCCCCCACAACGACGTCGCCGCATTTCACGAGGCTCTGGCCTCAAGCAAGCGCATCCTCGCCCTCTGCGGCGCCGGCCTCTCCGCCTCCTCCGGCCTGCCCACCTTCCGCGGCGCCGGCGGTCTCTGGCGGAACCACGACGCCACGGCCCTGGCGACCATGAAGGCCTTCCGCCGGGACCCGGGGCTCGTGTGGCTCTTCTACGCGTACCGCAGACACATGGCTCTGTCTGCGAAGCCAAACAAGGCACATTATGCCCTCGCCGCACTGGCGGATAAGAACCCGGATTTCTTGTGCCTGACGCAAAATGTCGATGGTGAGAAGTTACTCCCCTACGTTCCCGCAAAGAACAAATAAATAAATAAAAACCAGCTAAACATGATTCTCAGGTCTCTCGCCAAGGGCGGGGCACAAGGAAGAACAACTCCGCCTCCTCCACGGAAGCCTTTTTGACATCAAATGCGCCAACCCAAAATGCAGCTACATCGACCACAACAACACCCAAGACCCCCTCTGCCCAGCCCTCGCACCCGCCTCAGAAGACCTCACAGACCCAACCCAAACCCTCCCGCTCCTCGACCCTACCAAGAAGCTCCCCGCCATCGACGAAGCAGACCTGCCCCACTGCCCATCCTGCAAGACGGGCCTGCTCCGGCCAGGCGTCGTCTGGTTCGGCGAGGCGCTCGACGAGGCCATGCTCGACGGCGTCGACGCCTGGATCGAGCGGGGCAAAGTCGACATGATGATCGTCGTCGGCACGTCGGCGCAGGTGTGGCCGGCCGCGGGGTATATCCTCAAGGCGCACGCGGCCGGGGCGCGGGTGTGTACCGTCAACCCCGAGGCCGAGGACGAGGACCAGATGGGCAAGGTGAAGAAGGGGGACTTTGCGTTTGGGAGGGACGCGGCGGAGGTGTTGCCGTTGTTGTTGGAGCCTGTTATTGGGAAGTTGAGGGCGGATGGGCGGACGTATACGGAGGATTGGAAGGCTGAGTAGCAGATGTGAATGCGGAGTTTAGATTCTGTTGTACTAGTAGCAGAGGATGGATTTTAAGGGCGAAAAGTTGTCGTGGGCAGTAGATGGATTGAGCGTTCCTTGGTCTTATGGCGGCATCTTGTCAAATCTTTGTGTCATTTGACTACGTCGCAATACACTTCAGTCAACCTCTACCTTTAAAGGCTCATGAGAGAGCTTCATCGTCCTGAATTTAGTAAAACCAAGGCCATGGGGGAACTCTCCCATCCAAGACAGGAGTCTCGGAAGTTATTGAGGAGGCCTCTCTGCTGAAGGTGAGTTATCAAGGTCGACGGGATGGCGTTCTCATCCATTTCGTCAAACTGATGGCAGTACTGAGAACCATTCTGAGCGCCGGATGGAATGTATGATGTTCTTGATCCGATCGCTGATCAATGTAGAATATTAGAATGGCGTTACATGAGTTCTCGCAATGTATGATAAACACATGTGAGGTTTTCCTCTCACGCCCTTTCCTTGCAGCCTGCTTACGGCTCCAGGAATCCCGAAGATTCAGCGGAAGTCGTCAATCGTCTCTCAGCCAGTTACTTACCCGAAACTTTTCATTCAATGGAACTTGCTTTTACGGAGAATCATATATCAGATATCACTCTGGTTAACGAGACTAGATGTTTGGATATTTAAGCAAGCCTGCCAGTGATAACAAGAAATAACACCCGTGGAACCGAATTTCCATCCATCAGCGTTGTCAACTAAAAGAAGCTCAAAGTGTAGGGGCATTTGATAGACTTCAACTAACAGAAACACATCAAATGAGTTCTCATGTTTCTCAAATCTCATAACCCACGGCACGGATTCTCATCTTTGAGGAATCAATCCCTTGAAGGGGTTGAAGGTACAGCTCATCGGAAGGGGGGAGGGAAGCACCACGTCGGTACATTCACAGCCACCCAGACCTTCACAAGTCGATGGCCTATACTCTTTTCAAGCCTCTCACAAGTTGAACCTCGCCTTGTTTTTCATAGCCCCTATTCGCCTTACAATACAGCTACAAGATATTTCAGGAACACATCCTACCTTATCAGCAACTCGCATCAACGTCGTGGTACAAACACATCACATGACCGCCACTCACTAACAAAATGTCGTATCCTCAAACTCATACAAACTTACACTTAACTCGCTCCATCAGCTATTACTTACCATCGACGTATACCAACGCCTCGCCAACTCACAAACCAGCAACCTCACCAACAATGTCCAACCTCACAATATCTCCCCCAACACCCCCCGAACCCCCCCAAATCGCCACAATCCACATCTCGTCAATGTCCTCAAACCCCCTCCTCCCCCTCCAATTCCCCACGCCCGCCTCCCTCGCCGACCTCCACGACCACCTCGCCTCCGACGCCCTACGGCACCTCACTCACCACGACACGCCGCGGATCCTCGTGGCTCGCGTCAAATCCGACGCGGACGTCGAGAACGATGACACCGGCGGTGAACGTGTCATCTCCTTTGTGAAATGGGACATCATCCGACATCGAGCTCAACCTCGCAGCCAAGCCATCAACCCCCCCCCCCCCCCACCGCATCCGCCAGCGGCTCACGACGCTTAGAGCCGGGTAACATACTGCCAGCGGCGGCGGCGGCAGTGGATGATGCGGGTGAAGAGGAGCCTCCTCGGGACCAACAAGCCCATCAACAATCCAAAGCGGAGGGCGGAGGAGACAAAGTAAGCGCCGCAGCGGAGGAGCAGGAGGAGAATGACAACGACAACAACGACGACGACGAAAGCGAAGACGAAGAGTGGCCCGCTTCAGCGAACCGAGAATACCTCACCGCCTACGCGAAAGCCGCATCAAAAGCACGTCGGGAAGCCATGGGCTCACGGCCTTTTCTCCGTGAGTTCAAAAACCCTTCATTACCCTTCTTATTATTACTCGTCGTCCACTATGCTTTTCGGTCCTTTCTTTTCTATGACTTGTTTATTTTTGGTGTGCTTTTTGACCCAATCTCCATCATACCTCATGCCTGCTCTTCCGCTCCATTCATCGCCGTTCTTAGCTCAACATCTTCAATCACACACACACACACAGCTCCACCATCCCGGTATTTCCCATTACGTGAAATTTTCGGGAATTGTCGCGCAAAGGTGTGGTCCATTTCCTCAACCCACCTACCTGTATCGGCATTTTCCCCCATCCCAGTTGCCTGTTTTCCGCCGACTAGCAGCAGCGGTGCCGTATTTCCCTATCCGCCAAACCTCAACTTCCTTGCTGGCACGTACCGAGTCGGCTCCGAGGTCGGTGTTTGCCCATGTGGGGAATGGCACCGCATCAGACAGCGAACCTAGAAACCCAAGACTCGGAGTCTCTCTCCTCCCGGGGTGGTCCCCCCCCCAAAAAACCGCTGATCCCAGACATTTCTTGGCGGTTTCTCTTCTCCCCTCGGCATCACCCTTTCTAGAATTCCAAAATGTCATTTCGGTGACATCTCTCCACGGAACGGCGGGGGCAAACGGGGACCACAGTTTCCCTTTTATTCCCATCGCGGTTCCCACGTTACACCTGTTACCCGTGTCCACTTTGCCAACGACGCTGGCGCTGAACGTTCAAAGCCCCGAATCTCGTTTGCTGACATCTCGTGGGCGCTTCCTCCCCGCCGGCACCGGGGACCACCGACGGCGGCGGACCCGGATCCGCCGGGGACGCCCGGCTTTTATTTTATTTTATAGATTTGACGTTCTTGTGCACTGACTACCGCTTCCGCGGCCGCGGCGCGGGGAAGGCTCTCGTACATGCCGCTACGGAAGCCGCCAGAGCTGAGGGGCTCCCGGTATTCCTCGAAAGCACGACGGATGCCGTGCCGTTCTATAAAAGGTTGGGTTTTGTAACGATCGGAAGATGCCACATGAATCTCCCAGGCGGAGCCCCGTCGGCGGAGGGAGTAACGATCTATGAGGAGACCCTCATGATTCTTGAGAATATCCAAGACTCGTGCAGGATCAGTGAGCAACACTGACTTGGTGCGCCTGGGCCGCGATGATCTGACGAGTGCACCTTGTACAAACCCCGGATAAATCCACGAGAAACGTAAAATGTCGAACCAGTGTGCTCGGGTTTACGGGAAAGAAGTTCCAGAATCCGTACTTCAGGCTATTGTCTCGGTTCGAGATCGTCGGGCCGCGACCTTATGACCTGCAATGATCAGCAAGTATGTCATTACAACATGATGTCGGAAAGTGGAGGGCGGTAGGCGGGTAACCCTCAGTAAACACCCAACATCACGCTCGCCTCTGCAATGGCCGGGCGATAGAGATAGAGCTCTAGACCATTCGAGGCAGAGCAGAGTCGGTCAACTATGCCCAGCCTGCCTTCGTCGCATCACAGGAAATAATGACCAATCGAATTCCCAAGTTGAACTAGACGCATGCTGTCTCGAATGTTGCGGTTGACCGGTTTAGTTCGGCTTTGGTGCTATTTGGGAGAGCGGTGTAACTTGCCCAGTTTGCCGCCGTTGCCTCGACCGGCGCTTGCGAATCCTCAGACGTGACAACCTGTTCCAATCGATCGATCTAGCATTTATATTTCGAAAAAACTCCGTCGATAGAAACCTGTGACTTTTCTCGTAACAGAAACTACTGCAACTTTACGTTTTGGTCTTCGCAAGGTAATACGACTTTTCGGCTCACAGCATGTGAAGAATGTGGAGTCTATGAGTGCAGTAGGTCGCGAGGGTCGTGGAGAAATCATGAGATCAAGGTAAAGATATATCAAAACGCCGTTTCACATGCAATCGAGCCGTTGCGGACGTGGAGGTGTCACTGTTCCATCGTGACCTCGGACCGAAATAAAGAGTTCGGGTATATCTTCACCGGGCATGATTTGCCGCTTGAGTCGAATAGGAAGTTGTCGATTCAATTTATACCTGGTCGGAGCCGACGGCCACCGGAAACGCTAGCGATAGAGCCGCCGGGCTGGCATCGTGAGACTAGCGGGATTAGGAACTCAATGACGTAAGTAGCAGCTGGGCGATTGTATGAACCCCTGTTTGGTCCTTGGCTCTGCTGGGTTAAGGGTGTGGTGCCTGTGTACGTTCACGATGTCGCGCAACACAAGAGGTTTACCCCCCCCCCCCACGAGGCATGTGTCTTTCTGCGGATTGTTGAGGCGAGGCGAGGCGGTCGGAAGACGTGACATGCAGGGATTCGTGGGGGTCTCCCGCAGGAGGCGGCGGGAAGCAGAGTCAATCAAGTTGTTGAATTCAAGGTCATTTGTCGAAGAACGTCAGAAGATGGTAGAGCACGAGGTGCTTTGGGGGCCTTTTTCGGCAGGTGAGCCGACGTGGCATTTTGACATTTGACGAGCAGGGTGTTGCGGTTAAAGATGCCCTCTCAAGCAGCAAGTTGTTTTGAGAGGTTTCGGTTTGGTCAACTGTCTGGCGGCGGCAAGATGGCCGTGGTCCAGATAGTGTGGGTTGGGCCAAGATGACATTCGAGCTGTGGTGGTGTGTGGGTTTTCCTGGCCCTGATTCCTCAAGTGGTGGTGGTGGTGTATCTGATGCCGAGGGTGGGATAAACCGACGTCCATTTGAGATTGGCATGGTTGGTATGATGAGCAGCGAAACAGGGACGATGATTCGCAGGAGACCAACTGCCCCGCAACCCCGCGTTACCAGGAACTGAGGCTGGTCCACGGTCCACCAGATCTGGCTTTTTGGCTTATTTGAAGAGTGGTGAGTTGTGAGGTCTTTGGTTGGAGTCCCCCAGTTCCTCGACGCCGACTTGGGGCCGTGACACAAATGCACTTCAGTTCAGGGACTGGCAAGGTCCCTTGCTCATCGGGCGCGACCGGAACAGGCGCGGAGGCTCCTTCGCATCGACTCCTCCTGCCTAGTCATATGCCGGAGGGAGGAGACGTCGTCTAGACCGACGGCATGGAGATTGGAATCGATGGAGACGGTGACAAAGAGTCTCAACGGAGAAAAGGGTGTCGTGACACTGACAGGGGCGGGGTTGTTGAAAGGACCCTGAGGCGCAACGGCGGAACGGCGGTGATTCGGCGCGGCAGACGATAGCCCACGATTTGTGTCATTGTTTGACGATCTCTTGTTGGCGTGGTGGCTTGACTTGATGGTTCCGAACAACGGCGGGCTAATGATTTGGTGGTGATTGGGAGTGGGAAAGTAAGGTGGGAGGTGCATCCGCTTCTTTGCCCGCTCAAACTTGATGATGGGCTGCATATCTTATCAGCTTCTGGACTCTGGGATGAGGGATGATGCTGTTGATGGTGGTCCCCTGCTGAATGTTGCGTCGCAGGTTTATCCCTCTTCCAGATAGAGCAGCGGGTCTCCTGAGGTGTTGCTGGTTGTGCAGTTGCGTGCAGTCGGGCTGCATGCGACTCGACATTTGGCTGCGGTCAGCGCCGTGCAGGAGTACAACAGCGGTGCCGCATAGGTAGATTAGCAGCAGAATGGGTGTTTGTTGCGCGCGCGAAATGCTGGTTGAAGACGAGGTTGAAGTTGGGACGATGGGCCAAAGAGACCTTGGTCGTCGAGTTCTGACTCGGCAATATTCGAGAATTACGTTATGGGTATTGCCGCGCTAGTCCCGAAGCAGGCGGTACCGGACTTTCTATAAGGTAATGGGAGCCACCTCGCTAAAGGGGTGGATCCCCACCTCACGTCTAGGGCTCTACGGGACTGTACGAGTGCGCTACAAGCGCCGGTCGAGGCAAGAAGCGGCGAGTGAGCTGCAGAATGGCAGTGGCAAATGGTGGGGCCCCATGTTCCGCCCGAGTACCGCCGACTCGGATCGTGCAGTAACCACCACCACCTTGGAGTTCCTTACCTACGGAGTACCTTACCTAGGTATGGAGTATGTACCCTTCTACCTTGCAATGTAGGCGCGGGTACGGAGTAGAGGTACGGAGCTGAATCTTGGGACGAGGTGAAATATATGAGCCGTGATTTGCCCGTTTGCCATTATGTATTTCTGTCTCGTAGCATCTTTCTAGAACGCATGGCCCGGAATGGACAGAGATAAGGCGGCGCCCATCTCCCCCTCCCAAATGTCTCGTGCTTTATCTTTCCGCCCCTCCATCGACACCATCACTTCCGTCCCCCATGCCATTCCCAGCAACGACGACCCAGTCATCGTGCCAGACGGTCCCGCAGGCCCGCAGGGTCGACAAGTCGCACCTTTTTGCCATGTGCTTTTATGGAGAATTCCCCCTTCCCATCCGGCCACCACAACTTGACCATCATCATCAAGCACCCAAGCACACGTGTTCTCCATTGTCAACCTTTCTTCTTTTACGCGGAATGCAACGAAAACGGCCCTGGCGGCCCTTTCAGCCTCGCGCCTTCAAGCACACCTCCCTGTTCCCATTCCTGTTGCCCACTTGCTATGACACTTGAGACCCCAAATCCCCAGTGGTCTTTACTGATGCTCCTCGTACAATGCGACGTAATCGCTATCAACCTACGTCCAGTCCAGTATGTCACTTAGACCTGGACCTGCTCGGCTAACATGCCTCGACCTTTTTTGAGTCTCTGACCAGACAGACCCTTGTCTCTTTTTCGAGCGATAGGTCACTTGGTCACTTTCCTATTGTTCATGTCTATTTCTCTTACCACACTTTCTTACCTTTTTGCGCCCTCGTGTCTACTATCGACCGCCGCATCGACATCGACGCGCGCCTCGTCGTTTGATTCCCGGCGAGCCGCAAGGTAATTCTTTCCTCCGTAATTGGGCAGTCTCTCGGCTTGGCTTTGTTCAACAACCGATCCGACACTTACACCCCCGCGTACCTCGAGGTGGGCGTGGATGTTCGAAAAGCACAGCCCCGGGCCTACCCTGTTCTCTTTATGTTTTTCTTTTTGCCCTGTTTCTTGACCTTGGCTCGTTAGCCGGTAGTTCCCCATGTCATTTGTCACTGACACTGACAAAGTCTCTCTCTCCTGCTTGTCGTCTTGAAAATTGAGACTTTTGATGCCAAGCCATGCCTATGCCTGTCTCCTCAGTCATTGCATTTGCAGCTGCCGCTTTGCACATCCTTCCGTGTCGGTGAGGACAAGGCAGGCGCGCCGCACCAGGCCGCAGAAGAGGACTGCACTTGGTTGCGGTAAGAGAGTTGGAGGAGGAGGAGGAGGAGGAGGAGGAGGAGGAGGGTGAGGCCATGTCCGTCCCATTCCATCCCATGCCAGCCATCCCGTCCCGTCCCATCTCAGTCGACATGTCCTAGCCCATGCTCTTGTCTCCATCTTGATCCCCATACTCCATCAAACCAAGGTTTGGACCATTCTTTCTTGATGTCTTTTTTGGCCGCTTGGTCCGTCAGTCGGGCCATTGGGACCAACGCCCGCCGGCCAGTCAGATACTGCCGCACCTCCTCTTCCAATACACCCTCCTGCTTCTTCCTCCACCGACGCGAGACGTGCCATTCATAGTGAAGGGGTAGGGAAGAGTAGCTACGCAGTAGGGAGGAGTGAGAAGAAAAAAGTGTGTTACTTTTGCCCGGGCCTGCCTGACATCTTTGCAGCAGGCCACCGGCGGTCAGGAACTCTGACTCTTCTGTTCGGAGCTCCATCCAATCCTGACTGTGCTCCTCTCACGGCAGATCCTGTGTCAAGCGTCTTTCTGTTTTAGTCTCTCTCTCTCCTTGCGGGTTTAGAGGAACCGTCACACTGTCGATCAAAGATTGATTGAATAAAAAAAAAACAGTGATCCAATGTACGAGGGGCAGCCTCAAAGTAAAAAAAGAACACCAAGGAGAGAAGAAAAAAACCTTTACCCGGCCGGCATTTGAACTACTCTGGGTGTGTCAGTGTTTGGGTACCACATCTCTCTCACCTACATTCTGTTATTCATTTTTTACGTGGTTGGGCCGGTAATAGAATACTGTAAAGGTGGGAGGAGAATGAACAGGAGCTTGCACATCCCATCTTGTCAGGTTCCTCCTTCTTACTGTGGTTTTTTCCCCTTTCCCCTTTCCCCTTGCGCATCCATCCATACCTTGCCTTGCCTTACCTTTTCTTTTACCTTACGGTAACTGAAGTGTGCTCTCTTTACCTTAACCACCTTGGCTTTTTTTTCTCTCCTTCTCTCTCTCTCTCACTCTTCTCTTCCCTCTCTCTCCTCCTTCTTTTCCCTCCTCTTCCTCTCTCTCTCCTCTTTCCTCCTCCTCCTCATCTGCTCACCCCATCCATTGTTCTCGCCACCCAATCCCCATAAAATTTAATTATTTCTCCGTCTCCAACAAAACGGCCACCCCCAAACTAGACGCTCCAAGGAACCCCAAGAACAAGAACGAATATCCAAGACCAAGGACGTCCTGGTGCAACCGGCACATCCATTAATGGATACTTGAAGCGCCAACAGAGACATTGGACATTGCCTCTTACATATACTTTTCTCCCCCGGGATCCAATGACACCGATAAGCAAGGCTTATCTCATCCTTGCCGCCATCGTCACTTGAGAGTCCACCGATATCGATCCATCAAACCCCATTCATCCAATCCATCCAATCCCAAGTTTGGATTACTTCCCAGTCCCGGGCCCCAATTCCGGCCCTGCATCCGCACCCCCCAAGGGCCAAAAAAAAGGTACAACCACCATTACATTTCCATCACCAAAAAACGGGCGCAAATCATTCCGCCTTGGCCACTCCTGTCCTGCGGCGCACACTACCTTATCTTTGCCTTTCCCCAAAGAACCTGAAGCCGCGACCGCACCGCGCCCCCTCGGACTTCTACATCCCACCCCAGATCTTGACGAGGAACCACCCCAACTCAACACTCAGACAAGTACCTGCCTTACCTTCGAGTCTCTGGGACGGCCTACCTTTTACAGAGCATCCCGCTCTTAATTCCCGTTGTCGGCTTATCTTGTACCCCTCGCACGCGACACAACGCGCCTCACTACTCGGACGGATACCTATCAGCTTTCCCCTTGCGCCTCAGGAACACACAGTCTTCTCGTGTCTTTGTCCCACCTCGTCTAGCCTCGAAGCATCCAGGCCCCCCGTTCATCTCACGTCAAACCTCGCAATCGCTACCGGCCATTGTCCGTCTGTTGGCGTACCTGATCTTTGCCTGCTGCCGCCTGCAACAAGCCCGTCTTATCTCAACCGGCCTCGGCGCACCGTAGCGTTATCAGTCCAGTCCCTGTGGTGGCCCGTCTGCTGTTTCGTGTTACAACACAGGCTCACCCATAGGAATTCATCAAGATCGAATTACCGCTCGCCAGCCAATCTGATTTGGCGGATCCTGCATTGGTGCTACGCACACAATTCTCAAATCTCACGTCAACTCGGCCACAGATATTCTTATTCTTCTGCCGTCGATCTTGAGTGGCGGCCCAGCCCCAGCATCAGGACCAGGACCAGGACCAGAACCAAGGCAACGACGCACATTGCATCACTTGCTTCGCATCCCATCTGCTGCACGCCGTGGGGCTCGTTGAACCAGCTTCCATCCCGGGGAGTGTGCCAGCCTCTCCCGTCTGCTTCCTTGGCCTTTGGCGAAGCCTATCGTCCTATCACCGTTGTCATATCTCCGGTTAACCCTAGGTGTAAATTCACGCCCGCTTCACTCCCCCAATCTCCAGACAAGGGCCCCGGGACCCCGACTTGACGAACCGGGTCCGTCCGCCCGTCTGCTTCCCCTGCGTCGGCCCAGCCCTGCCTGTATCCGTATATACATAGCTTTGTCTCTACTGCCGCGCCTTACCTATCCATCATGTCCAATCCAAGTGCCGTCACCAGGACGGCTCCCATCGCCATCGCACCAAAGCCTCCCCGCCGCCAGAACTCTTATCTCCAGGAGGCATTCACGAACCTCGAACTTTTCCGCGGCGGCAGCATGCCTGGACGGGAAATCGCAGAGTCTGTTGGCTCATACACCACACGTTCACTCAGCCCATGTGAATCCTGCCAACGGTCCAGGGTCAAGTGTATCGTGAGCGAAGACGAAGATAGCTGCATACCTTGCCAGGCTAGCGGATCCGATTGTTCCCTGCTCAACAGTCCCCAGCCAAGGAAACGCAAGCTGAACGGTGATTTTGACGACAGTGGTAAAAGAAGGTCAGTCTGCTCAATTTCCCTCCCCTCTTCTCATGCTCTCACTCTCACTCTCATTCTCACTCTCAATCCCACTCTCACGCTACCAACTGCTCCCCGCCCTCTTTCCCCCCTCATACTGGCGAGTCCGTCTCCCTACTGCTTCCTCCCCCGCCAGCCTGGCTCACCTCCGCTTGAGCTTGCATTTTGCGCCCGTTTGATGTTTTTTTGGGCAGCCATGGGGGCACGCCGCGGTCAGGGGGGCACGTCTGATAACGAACCTTAATCTCTGACACGTGATTGGTCCATTAGTTCACCAGCTAGAGCCGATATCAGAAGGCGAAGGCAACATCAGCCCAGCCTCTCCAGCACCACAGGAAGCAGCTCTTTTCTTGAAGACATGGAGAATGTCGGAGGCCCGACTCTGCTCAAACGGACGCTGGGTCTCCAAAATGATCGCTACAGTCAGTACATAGGCCCAACGACCGACTTCGAGCCTTCTCTCATCAACCTCTCACCCTTCAACCCCCAGGATGAGAGTCTACTGGCGCGCGGCACTCTGCGCAAGGTCAGTGACGATGACACGTTCCTGCTACTGCCAGATTCCAACACGCCCGGCCATGAGCACATCCTGGAGGATATCGAGGAGATTGAGGGTCTCGTGCGGCCACATGGTCGCAAGTTGGTAGACTTGTATTTCCGCATCGTTCACCCCGCCTTCCCGATTATTCAGAAGACCGTCTTCTTGGAAATGTACGAGCGCAGCTACCGCGAATTTTCGCCTTGCCTACTAGCTGCTGTTTATCTGTTCGCCATGAACTGGTGGGAGCACGATGAAGAGCTTGCGCAACTTCCTCGACCAAACATTCCTAACCTCGAGCGGATGATCCGGACAACCCTCGCCGACGCAATCTACCGCCCGAAACTGTCCACCATCCAGGCTGGTCTCCTTCTCTCCCAGCGACCTGAGGGCGACCAGTGGGCTCCGACTGCCCAGCTCGTCGCCACTGCCCAGGAACTTGGCCTCCATCTCGATTGTACGCACTGGAAGATCCCACCTTGGGAGAAGGGATTGCGGAAACGCCTCGCCTGGGCCTTGTATATGCAAGACAAATGGGGTTCCCTCGTTCATGGGCGACCGTCGCACATTTTCTCCACCAATTGGGGGGTTCAACCGCTGACGGATCACGACTTTCCCGATGTCGAGTGGGACGAGAAGGACGTGGAGGAGAAGCTGGATATCGAACGCGGTCGCATATTGTTTGGTCAAATGGTACAACTGTCGCAGATTCTTGCCGAAATCCTCGATACGTTCTACTCACTGCAGGCCATGCAAAACATCACCAACGCCGGCGGGCAAGGCACACATATAGTTCTGGGCATGGCGAAGCCCATCCAACTGAAGCTCAAGGAGTGGTATGCCAGTTTGCCGGCGGCCATCCGCATGGACAGCACGTATTCTTCGATCTCTGCGCCGTCAGGTCGTCTGTCAAGCATCGGGTACCTCCACCTTGCCTACTTCGCCGCCGAAATCACACTTCATCGCCGTATTATTCGTTCGCTCGAAGCTACCGGTTCGGCTGTTGATTCTTACGTTCAGCACATTTGCCGAAGCGCGGCCAAGGCTCGCCTGATCTCCGCCATGGACTTTGTCAACCGTCTGAATACTTCCCACCTACGATCCTTCTGGTACTTTGCGTCCAAGACCAATTTTGCCCTCATCGGAACGTTTGGTTCCCTTCTCTGGGCAACATCCCCAGGAAGGGAGGAGGCCGATTGGTACCGCAGGCGCTTGGGCGAGTATCGCTGGACATTATCCGTGAGCTCGAAGCCTGGTGAAGGCAAAGGTCTCACCATGTTTGCTATGACGATGCTCGATATTTCGACCGGCCTCCTCAAGAAGCTTCCGGAGAAACCTTCGATGAGCCGCAGCGGAAGTGTGGTGGATATCGGGCTTGGCAGCATTAGCAGCAGCTTTGCCAACAACGGCTTGCTTTCTCTCGGGCAGAGCGCGCCGGCCACCATGAGCCTAGGAGGGTTCAGCGGGCTGCCCAGTGCCGACGTGAGCAACGCTCAGAGCCCACTCAGCGTGGACAGCAGCGATGACGAGATGTACGAGACATTTGCCCCAACGTCGGGCATGGCAGGCTTGGCCGAATGAAGAGAGTAAAGTGCAGCGGCGATGGATGGACCATCGCTGAAGCTGTAAATGGAGGAATAATGAAAACATGAAGAGACGAAGACTCGCTCAAGCGGGAGATGCGATTCAAGGAAACGGAGCTTTTCTCCCACCACTTGGAACGAATTTTTGGGATTGCATCATGATCTGCAGGATACCACTGGTTGATGGGCGGCGGGCCATGCGAAGGCCATGACGGAAAGCCGGGAGGAAGCAGCAAAGCCCGCCGGCCACGACCTCATATTGATGATATTTCGTACTTTTTATTTTTTTTATTTTTTATTTTTTTTTATTAGCTTTTTGGTCGGGATCTGTGATGCGAGAAGGGGAACCCAACGCGATTCACTCGGTGTCGGCGCAAGACTCTCGGGAGGGATATTTACCGTCCATCATTGAGCGGGAAGCAAAGTCGTAGCATCGTTCTTTTGGAGGTTGAGCGATCCATACTTTTTACATTTTAGCATAGATTGCAGAGCTTTTTGGATGAAATTATATATACCTTGATGTCTTGCGATGATTTCAGTTTACATACCTTGATGTCTTGCCTAGCCGGCCAGGCTAAACAAGGATCTCACGAGTGATATGTGGGAACTTGAGGAAGGGGTAGGTAGTGAAACGGCGCAAAAGCTACACCAAACAAGTTAGAATCGAGGATAGGAGGAGACAGACAACATTGAGATCTTTTATGCCGCTACAAAACGGCGGGAAACCAGCGCTCTCAAGTATGCCAGACAACTCATGCACTCGGACCGAATCACGCAATCGATGGTGTCATGGTAGCCATCAGCCTCGCCTTAACGACTGGCAACAACTACCTTTATGTCGTCAGCATTCCCCGTCCTATGAAATCAGAGCCGGAAAGCATCGGCCTTAGGCAAGATGTCGAAATAAGAAAGAGGCCAATATCGCGGTTTTGGGCTCGTGTGACACCAAAGGAAGGTGCAATTACGACGAACGGCTTCTTTGAGTGCGAGGTGCATATGGGGCAAGTGCGTGATGATGCGGCCGATGCTACTCGGGACGGCTAACACGGCACATGGAGATCCAGCTTTGGATGATTTTTCATGGACACGTAGATATGATTAGAGTCTTTGAGAGACATACAGCGTAGGATTCCAAAGTGTAAGTGAAAGTGAGGCCAACGATGGTGTCTGGAACATGATATGGTATTCTACCTTGTGTAGGCCTCATTACATAATAATCCCGCTGTCCCCGGATGCCCCGCTACACCCCCGGCGCCAAAAGTTCAAGGGAGCGGCGCAACGAAACCCCCCCCCCCCACCATCTCCGAAATCCCACCTTCATACAAAACCATCCCCGTCCCGCCGGGAACCCATCTCCGCCGCGACTTTACCAAAAAGCCCCCCCCCTCTCCGGAAAGACATCGCCGTCGCGGGCCGTCCACGATCACGATTTCGATCACAACCACGACCAGCCAACCTCCCGTATCCTCCCTCACGAATCCCATCGCAGCTCTCCCACCTCCCACCTCCCCCCCATCCTCGCCCAAAATGCAAGGCTTCAACATGGGACGCTACGTCCCGCCAGACCAAGAAGGCACAACAACCGGCAACAAACTCAACCGCAAACACCCCCTCGGCGCCCGCGCCGCCAAACCCGGCATCCTCGTCGTCCGCTTCGAAATGCCCTTTGCCATCTGGTGCGCCACCTGCCCCAAACCCACAATCATAGGCCAAGGCGTCCGCTTCAACGCCGAGAAGAAGCGCGTCGGGTCCTATTTCACGTCTGCGATATGGCAGTTTCGGATGAAGCACGCCGACTGCGGCGGGTGGATCGAGATCCACACGGATCCCAAGAATACTGCGTATGTTGTTGTCTCGGGCGCGAAGAAGAGGGATACGGGCGAGGAGGGACGACTTCCGCAGGAAGGAGAAGTAACCATCTTGACGGAAGAGGAACGCGAGAAACGTAGGAGTAACGCCTTTGCCTCGCTCGAAAAAACAATCGAGGACAGACAACAGCTCGCGCAGGCGACGGAACGCATCGACGAGTTGCAGGATGCTGCGAGCCGGGCGTGGGATGATCCGTATACCCGCAACAAGGCCCTCCGCGCGACGTTCCGCGAGGGAAGGCACCAGCGTGAGAAGGAAGCTGCTGTAGGCGAAGCCCTAAAAGAGAAGATGAGTTTGGGGATCGAGCTTGTGCCGGAGACGGAGGAGGATGTGCGCCGGGCGAGGTTGGTTGATTTCGGGGGTATGGGCGAGGGAGTTGATGAGGCGGGGGTGGTGGCTTTTAAGAAGCCTCTTTTTATGTCGTCTGCTTTGTCTTTGTCTTCGTCTGCGCCTTCTGCTTCGGTGAAGGACGGCAAAGCTAAAAAGTCAACGAGGACGACGACGACGACGACGACTGGTAAGGCGGTGCTACTGCCCAAGGGAACGCCCAAGGCCGAGGTCCTCGCTTCCAAGAGGAGGGATACCATTGTCTCCGAGATTGTCGGGAACACGCGCATGGCGAGGGACCCGTTTCTGGTCGAGAGCAAGGCGGAGAGGTCGTCGGCGCTGAGGATCCCCGGGTTGAAGAGGAAGCGTGATGAGGATGGCGTGCAGAAACAGGAGTTGCTGAAGGCCACGGAGCCCGGGCAGAGCACGCCATCGTCAAAGTCCCTCGTGGCCTACGATTCAGACTCGGATTGAGGGTCTTTTGATTTTAAGCACTCCTCGTGGGGGGGGTTAGGTACACTTCCTTATTTTATTTTTGGCGTTTTGGTGGAAAAGGGACACGGATTAGATCAGAGATACCCAGACATCGCGATGGCGTTAATTTACGTTTGCAAGAGAAGCTTTCTTGGTTGATGATGCTCAAGCGCTTGTGCTCTTCTCAAGTGATATTCGTCAGAATGCGCGGACTCAACCCCCCTACACAATCACCTACCATATCCCGGGTGCAATTTGGCACATTCTCTCTAGGCTGCGTCTTCACATCGTACTCCGCACAACTCCAAAACACGCCATGGAGTCACGGGGGGCATTGCTTGCTGTTTGCATGACTGTTATCGACTATCTAATAGCTCCTAGAGCCACTGGTCCGAGTTGATCGAACAAATTGAAATCCAATCTGGGGTGGTATGTATGCTTTGCATGCCCACGTCGTCTCCATCGGCCATTAGCGTCTCTCCTCTTGAGCAATGTTCATCATCATAATCAAGTCCCCATCCTACCCGCGATTGTCTCATGTGAAAACTCCAAAGCTGATTCCCATAAAATGCCCTTGCCTAGTCCCTTAAACACACAAAGATAGCAGAATCCCGGCCTCGCCGCTAATTACTGTTGGGGAGGAATGCCCTTCAGCAGGATCACGTTGAGTAGGGTTCCAGAATGCCAAGTCCAATCACAACCCGGGGGATATAAGTCTCCTGCGACGCCATTTCCATGAATGCTCTCTCTAGCCGTGTTTCCTTTCAAGTTCCCGAGTGCACTTCATACATCGTCAAGTCGGCCGGCGGGTTCCTCGTCATCGTCGCCGAAGCTGCCAACGGATGACATGTCATCGTCGTCTTCGCTCTCGGCACCGGCTTCGTCGGCGGCGTCTTTGCTCGCGTACTTCTGGACGTACTCTGAAGCTCGTTGTTAGCAACCTATGTCAACCCCTTTCGGCCTACTATTTGTGTTTACGCACCCTTGACTTTGGCGTCGTAGCTCTTGGGTTCTCTTATCATCAGGGCAGCCGCTTCGCCATTCAGGGGGTCCGTCGGGTTCGGGTATCGGAGAAGTTGAGGCAAGAAGACCTCGAAGATGTTGATCATGTCGAACATGGGCGACCAAGTCTGGTTGATGACATCCAGGCAGACGGAACCCGATCTACGCATTTCCCTGGATCAGCTCCTTGCTCTGTTTTGTTTCCTCTTGAACCGCTTGTTCGTCCAAATGTGTCTCGTTCGGGTATTCTCTACTCACAGCTCGTCGATGTTGGGGTGGAAGATGCGATTAACAAATCCGATACTCGGTGACTTATAGGGGTATTGGTCAGGAAGCTCGACATGAACCTTCCAGACGCCGCCTTCGAAAGGAGCTGCAGAGAATAAGCATGGTGAACTGATGCGTAGGTATAGCTTGAACTGACTCTCGGTAGGGCCCTTGAATCTAACATAGAACTCTTGCCTGGGTGGTGGGGTTAGGATCGGAGGATATCATCGAATGGGTCTAAGTCTTACACTTGGCGGGGTGTTAGTCGCAACAGCTCTGGAGGTGGGCTAGAAGGGTGACATACTGTTGTCGTTCACCAGAGTAACCTCGTAGTCACTCATCAACCTACAAGGGTCAGTATATCAAGCAAAAGGTGGTTTGTCGGAAAATCGCACATCCTGCGTCAGGTTAGCAGGTTGTCAAAGGTATGGCGTGACTCGGGGCGCTTTTACTTCATGACCTAGACAAAAGACAGACGTGTGAGCTTGCTGCACCATTATCATCCAAAGGCTCTGGTAGCATTGTAGACTTACATCAGTCTCGATTCTTCTGCGTGGGCTGCTCATTTTGATGGTTGCGCGCGGGGTGTTCGGAGGACGGCAATTCGATGGGGTAACGCTGCTGTAATCGGATTGCGGGGGAAGACTGGTTCGATGTTGGAGTGGAAGTCCCCGTATATAAGAGATTTCGCCAAGGGGCTTCCAAAGGTCGTTTCCTATTCGTGATGTTGCTTGGTATTGGTCTGGAATCGTGAGGAGTGCAGTGGGTGGTTACAGAGAGGAGGAGAAGGTCGGATCGGGTTCCTGACGCCAAGTCACGCGCAATGATGATGTGGGCGATCCCGGACCATGACTGATAAGTGCAACGATAAGAAGAAATGGGTCCGAGGATTAGGCGGCTAAGCGCGGATCTTGCCAGCCACCCAGGTTCTCTCGTTGCAAGTAAGTGCCCACTCCCCACCTGCCCTTGGGCTTTTACACAGCACATGACTAAGACAATGCGGGACAATGCAAGCTTGATTCATCTCGCAGGAACAATGTCGAAACTGAAAGCCGATGTTGGAGAAGTAATGTATCCCACGAGTATTGAAGGACTGCCTACAAAGCCACCGTTGCTTTCAAGGAAGAATTCCTTTAGATGTATTCACCCTTTACTCAGATTCTGTAACTGTATCCAGTCTTGCTCCAGGCTACATGCGCCGGGTTCTAGTTGAACTCAACTCACCTCAGACATTCAAAGCCAGATCAGCCAACAGACACCGGCAGTTCCGACCAACAAAGTTTGCAGGAATGATGTAAGTCCCTGGGGCTGTACTACAGACCAGTGCCATGAGGGCCGTTCCGTTCAACGACGTCGCCTGCTTGCAAGATCCCTTGATACATTTCTACAAGGAATAACCCATCGTCCCACGCAGGCACAAACTAGATGGACTAAAGTGGTGGACAAGGTTGCACGCTGTCACGAGCCAGCAAGGAGACGCCGTCTTCTTATGGGAAGGGGATGGGGGGGCTATCCGTGATACCGGCCGTCCGTCACTTCCTTCTATGTGGGGATCCATCTTACACGCAGTACAAGCGGTGTCAGTTGGTCAGATTCGCGGCGAAACCAACAATAATAGACTTCAAAAAGTCAAGTCACGCGAGCGCCATCATCCCAAGCTTCGGCTCGCTACTTCGTAGTCAGCTTGCCCTTTGCCGATCTGGGCCAAGGGGAACCTTGGACATCCCAATGCCCGTCCTTGCGGAGGGCCGAGATCAGAAACCGCCGGGCCCGAGGCAACTCTGCCTCGGTTTTAGCTCACTTACCTCAGCACCAGGGCCCTGAGAGGATCAGCGTTGTACTGGCGCCCTAGGGAGAATAGACGATAGAGCTCAGCACAGCTCACTAATCCCTTCTCAGATCAAAAGGTACGTATCAGAGAGGCGACCATGGACTCCCGTCTGAAGGGGGGGGGGGCGCACTGAACGTACCTCGGCGCCTCGTCCAATCACGGAGGTTGGTCACAGGTGGACCGGACACCGTTACTTGGGGCACTTTCCCAGCGAAGCGTCCAGCACGGCACCTGTGTGGTCAGCTTGTGAGATCGGCCCGCTTTTCCCATCTCTACCCCCAGCGGCGGGAACGAAACACCACCGGTAATTTTTGGAGATACTCAATTCTACGCAGCAAAAACCATCATGACTTGGATAATAAAAGATTACGCTTCGCCCTTCAACGCAAATTTCTTTTGAGCTTCTCTCTCCACACGTACAACATCCGCATCAATACCATCAAGTTTGCATCTTTGCATTCTCTTTTTTTCTGCACTTGCATACTCCATTCATACGTTTACTTCTTATAAAAGACAAAAAAAAGGTACTTGTCTGCCCATATGTCTCTCCCTACAATCCGAAGTACCTGTCTGAGGTCGTGTGCCTCTCTACTGAGAAGCACGCGACCCTCGACAGCAGCATCTTCAGTGCGACCCATGTATCCCGCTGTAATGCAACCATTGCAAATGCGTCACAGCTCGCATTCCCCCATGGGTACAACTTCTGCAAACCAAAGAAAGAAAGTCACACTTGGTTCTTTGCGCAGTCTGTACAAGAAGCGCGAGCCAATCACAGTCATGACTGCGCACGACTTCTCCAGTGCCCACGTTGCCGACCATGCTGGCATGGATATTATCCTTGTAGGCGACAGCTTGGCCATGGTTGCACTTGGTATGGAAGACACGAGCGAGGTTGTGGTAGAGGAAATGCTGCTTCATTGCCGTTCTGTTTCAAGAGCTACCAAGTCCGCATTTACTGTAAGTCTACTCTAAATCTAGCCTGCAAATGTCGTACTGATCCAATTTCAGGTTGGCGATTTGCCCATGGGTAGCTATGAGATAGCCCCGGAACAGGCTCTGGAAACTGCCATCCGCTTCGTCAAAGAGGGCCGGGTGCAAGGCATCAAGCTCGAGGGCGGCAAGGAGATGGCCCCCACGATCCAGAAGATTACGTCCGCGGGCATTCCTGTTCTTGCGCATGTGGGACTGACACCGCAACGGCAGAACGCCCTTGGCGGCTTCAGAGTCCAAGGCAAGACTTCCGACGGGGCTCTCAGGCTCCTTGAGGATGCACTCGCCGTGCAAGAGGCCGGCGCTTTCGCCATGGTCATTGAGGCTGTCCCTGCTGAAGTCGCAGCACTTGTTACGGAAAAGCTGTCTGTACCAACCATTGGTATCGGTGCTGGTAATGGCTGCTCCGGCCAGGTATTGGTGCAGGTCGACATGACCGGAAACTTCCCTCCCGGCCGATTTCTGCCAAAGTTCGTCAAGAAGTATGGCGACGTCTGGAGCGAGAGTCTTCGTGCCATCGAGACCTACCGGGACGAGGTGAAGAGCCGACAGTATCCTGCCCCGGAGCACACCTATCCCATTTCCAAGGAGGCGCTTGACGAGTTTACAAGCGCGTTGGAAAAGTTGTGAGGAGTTGTCTGCGTTCAGTGGCTAATAGACCATCGCCTTGCGTTGCTTTCGTGCTGCATTACCACCGGTGTTTGGGAGTCTAGAGGGCGGAGGCATTTTCATCGTTGTTCAGCCTTAGTATACCATGTAATAGCGTACTTAATCTCAGCCAAAGGCTGGATTCATAGCATAAGAAATCACAAGCTGACCGCTTGAATCCTTGAAACACTATTGCAAGCATGTCAGCATTTGCATTTGCATCGGTAGTGTCTGCTTCCTGAACGCACGCTGTGCAAGTTACCAACAATCTCATCGAGAGAAGGGGCAAAAGAGTCATTGACATAGCAAAAGACGCTGTCTGTTTCTTGAAGTTTGAGCCTCTTGCGCAAGTACCATATGACGGTATGAAATGTCTGGGTAGAAGAGATCTTGGCCACCCCTCGAGCGAGCGAGGGTGCACTTCCGACGGCCTTGAACTTGACCACGACCTTGTCTGAAGGATATTCGCCTGCGCTGCTCAGGGCAGAAGCCACATCGCGAGGTTGAGCTATCAGGATGGCTGAGGCGGACATGGTGAGTGGCACTTCTGGAGAGGCTGGACGATCTGGGATGGTTGCAGGCGGAGGTGACGCCGAGTCTGACCTCGGGATGCCAGGCGACGATGGAGTTGCCATTTTCGGGTGCTGTGTGGTTGCCTACAGTGTATGCGTGTTCGAGGGAGTGTTAGGATGAGGAGGATAAGAAATGTGAGCGGTGTCGAGCTAGCCGAGTCATCAAGTAAGGTACTGGGAGGTTGTTCGAATGAATAGAAAGCACAGGAAGGAAGTGAGGTTGGAGATGAAAGAGTGAGACTGCCCTGGGCATTGTCTGCTAGGTTTGGCAGGTGGTTGACCGGAGCCCCGTGAGTGGTCGCTGCCTGAGTGCCCCGGGCGGGCTCGCCAGGCACCTCAAGCACCTCACTTCAGGTTGTTCCTCAGATAAGGTACAACTACCTTACACACCCATCATCAATTACAGATCCAACATCAACTATCCAGACAAATTCCGATTCAGCTCGTCACCATGAGCCCGCGATGCTATAGGCGACGTCGATTACGAGTACAAACCCCGACAATTCCGAAGGCCAAAAGGTTTCCAGAGACAATAGGCTATCTGGTCACCACGCATGCATGATGATCGCAGAGTACCTAAGAGGGAGAGGAAGATGTAAGGAATCGATGCGACCACCCTCGGCCTCAGGCGCGTAGCCCTGAATAGACGACGTCTCTTACTCTCACCGCATAAGCCGCGCTTATTACGAAGAGCACATCAAGCCGTGAGCAACACTCAAGCCTGCGAGCGATTCGTGACCACGTCCTCTACCACGGAGAGCCAACACGTATTCGGGCTACTCGTAGTTGTTCACTTCGTCTTTGTTTGATGCCGTAGAGGCCCAGAGACGTAACACAGTCGTAAGAACAATCTCTGATTCACCTCACCTTCCTTATTCCTACGTCACACAATCACAAAGCTATTGCTCGCCAGTGTGGTGACTGGTCATGAGCCTCTTTATAAGACGCATTTCGTACACTTTCGATTCTTTCTTTTTCTAGACATGATTTCATTCAAGCAACACTCAATTCCTAACATTGACTGCAGAACTTCGGACCTCTTTTTAGATCTTGATCCCGTCGTACCTGAGGGCGACGCAAATCCATTGAAATGACAGCAACACATGCTACGCTTGTGTGCAAGCAGACGCGCGATGTTGAAGACTTGGCACGCTTCCCTAGGGATGTTGCTTTAGACGGCCTGTATCTCGACGTTCCAGTCGTTGTTGCCGCAGCGCGCCACGGACTCGTTCCTTGCGTGAAGGATGACCCAGAAATTCGACACCGAATACGCCAGAGTATCAACGTCCTCGACCACCATGTCGAAAACGGCTGGGTCGTGTACGGCGTCAACACGGGCTTTGGCGGCAGCGCCGACTCACGGACTGAACAGCTCAAGAAACTACAAATTTCTCTGCTCCAACACACCCAAAGCGCCATCATCGCCTCCTCTGACCTGAGCTATAGTCAAGTTGACCAAGACGGACAGTCTCACGTCATTCCAACGGCTTGGGTGAAGGCCGCCATCGTCATTAGGGCGAACCAAAACCTCCGCGGCCATAGTGCCGTCAGGGTGGAGGTTATCGAGACCCTCCTCAGGCTTCTTCGTCACAACATCACGCCGTTGATTCCCTTGCGAGGAACCATTTCGGCATCCGGGGACTTGATGCCCCTATCTTACATCGCGGGGACTCTAATCGGAGACCCCAATATTTCCGTCAGTGTCGGATCAGGCACCAGCAGAAGAGTTGAGTCTGCCCGCGATGCATTGTCAGGATGTGGCATTCAGCCTGTTGAGCTGCAGCCAAAGGAGGGCTTGGGCCTAATCAACGGGACTGCACCCTCTGCCGCCTTGGCTGCATTGGTAATTTACGAAGCGAACCAACTCGCGGTCCTCGCCCAAGGTCTTACTGCATTCACATCCGAGTGCCTACTTGGAAACGTTGAGTGGACCAACGAGTTCGTTCACAGGATCCGACCTCACAACGGACAGAAAGAGGTGGCTAACAACATTCGCAACTTCCTCAAGTCCTCCAAGTATGTAACCGGCCTGGAAGGCAAGAAACGGACGGGCCAAGGTCTATGGCAGGACAGATACTCGACACGAACCGCGCCCCAGTGGATGGGCCCTTACTTAGAGGACCTCCAACTGGCCTATAGGCAAATCCAGACCGAGCTCAACTCGACATCCGACAACCCAGTTATCGACATAGGCGATGGCGGTGATGTGGCCGCAGGTGACGTGTACTCCGGAGGCAACTTCCAAGCGACCGCCATCACCTCTGCCATGGACAAGACCAGGACGGCGCTGCAGATGATCGGGCGTTTGCTCTTCTCGCAGTGCTCCGAGCTAATCAACCCGGCCACGAACAACGGCCTCGATCCGAACCTCGTCTTGGGAGACCCTAATGTGTCCTATACCATGAAGGGCATCGACGTCAACATGAGTGCCTACATGTCGGAGCTGGCTGCGCTCGCGCATCCCGTCTCGTCCCACGTCCAGTCGGCCGAGATGCACAACCAGGGCATCAACTCTCTCGCGTTCCTCTCAGGCCGCCGTACCATGGAGGCTGTCGATGTCTTATCGCACATGTGTGCCGCTCACCTCCTCGTGTGCTGCCAGGCAGCGGACCTGAGAGCCTATCACGAGAAATTCCTTTCCTTTGTGTCCTTGTCGACTTCCATGACAAACCTGGCCTCCTTGTTAGACAAGGACCACATGAGCAATGGTCAGACGACTGAGTCAACAATGACAGGGGCTGGTTTTGACGAGCTAGTCAGAGTGTGGTGGTACGAGGCAAACAAATCCAGCCATATCCAGCGCTGCTCGATCGTTGCCTCCAAAGCCGCCTCCCACATCATGGATTCGATAGCTCACGATGGGTCTAGCTCCGTCTCGTTGATGGAAGTCCTAGCCACCCGAGACGACTTCCGGCAAACCATGGAAGCATGGGTCGCCGACCCGTTCAAGCGCCCCAACTCAGAGCCCACATACCCCGAAGGACTAGGCCAAGGCTCTGCAGCGCTCCAAAGTCTCGTGCGCCAGGAGTTGAGAATTGAATTCCACCAAGGCTTGAGGGAAGGGCAGCGCAGCACGATTGGTACCAGCGTTTCAAAGATTTACGAGGCAATCCGCCAGGGCTCCGCCGTCCAGAGACTATTACCCTGCCTCTTTCATGGTGTGAACGGTTTTGAGACATATATTTCCGGAACCTCGAGTGACGGTGAAGAGCGGGATCATGGCAATCTGAGTCACCTCCCATCGACGAACCGGTACCTGCCGGCGATGCTAGCATACGAGCGGGAACAAGAACAAGTGAAGAGGAAGCGGGAGGAGTAGGTCTCGGGACTTTCGCAAAGAGCAAAAACATAGACTATACTCGACTCTGTCAAAATAATCAAAAGTTTACTGAATACTGAACACCGTAGACTGAAATAAGTTGCCATGGGCTTAGGGATAATCTATGTTTGTGTTGCAGTATAATGGACAGTACGCCAAATGGACAATTGAACGTCACCAGCGGACAAGGGACAGCGACCTCAAGTTGCGTGGGGAAAACAAAGCCACACCATTAACTAATTCGTTTTTCCTCATTGTTTCGTTCATAGAAATTCATGTCCTATTTGATTGAAGTATTCCACGTGGACTATTTTTTGGCTGCATATAATACCAGAACAAGGGTGATCAATTAGTCGCTGGATAGATACGTTTGCGACTGATGAGTTACGATGATGCTACTTGAAGTTTTGTGTTCTCTGGAAAGACCCAAGGAGAACAGAGACCCTTTTCAGCCAACCACACTCCCAAACCCCATCAACCAACCCATCACATCAACCCATCAAAAAACAACAAAACAATACAAACAAAGCCAACGTCAAACCCCCCCAAAAAGCAAAAGAAACTGTCCCTAGCAAGGCTCGAACTTGCGACCTTTGGATATCTCTAGATGTTCTAGAGTCATACGTATGGATATGAGACCAACGCTCTACCGACTGAGCCATAGAGACTAATTAATATCTTTTCACTGCCTAAAAGAAAATTATGACCCCTGTCGAAGAGGGGCCTCGCTGGACAACAGTCGGCCCCCCCCCTTTCCCCCCCACTGAAAGGTCACTAGAAGAGGGCCCGTGGGATGGATAGTGGGGCAGTGTGGTGCGGTGCGGCGCGCGGAATGTGCAGCAAGCGCGGACGGGGATGCATGGAAGCTCGACTGACGTGCAAACACCCAAACGAACGCGTGGGAAAACCAAAAAACCGTCCCGTCCAAAAGCCATGTAGCTTGCGCATCGTCGAAACCTAATTCGATGCCAGACCCCGTTACCATGGAATTTCTTTCCCTTCACGTCATCTCAGATACGATGTTATTTTTTGAGGACCATATGCACTCACTTCCCAAATAGTCATTTGGAAAGGAACCTCCCCTAGACCAAGCTCGGGCCGTTTGCGAGACGCTGGCGTGGCTGGTTCGCAGACCGGTGCCCTTCTCGTGGGAGAAACTAGAATGAGTGCACGATAGCTTCTTATAGTCGAGATCGTGGTTGTCAATGCACCCCCGGACTCCGGAGATTTTATTTACTTCTTCGTTCCGTTGCGTGCTCAAAGGATCTGACATCTAGATCTCGTCTCCAAGCTGACCCGGTGACATAACCGAAGCGTGGTATGGATATTCACCATAACATTCATCTAGGAAGCGGGGGTATATGAAATGCTTGAATTATCCTCAACGCCTTGTCTGAATAACACAAACACTCGGGCTGCTTCACACACACCCGCAGCATCCTACTTTCCCAAACCATGCAGTTTTTTCGTGTTCAACGTACAATATACACAAGCATAGACTGTTCAATGTGATATCTACACCGTGGTTCATTAAGACGCGCCGTCCTAGTTTCTCCTCCTATCGCATGTACGGCCACTGGTGATGATGATGCTGATGGCCGACAAAGTGCCGCCGCCCTGCCCGCGCCAAAAAAGGAAATGGAAAATTGAGCCGTCGTGGTATAAGATAATCCATGCCAAACGCCACTGTGCATGCAATGATATCAATGCGAGCCGACCTATTAGTGAAAGACGAAGTGAAGAGAAAATAAACATGACCGGAAACCAAACATGGTTTCATGTTGGACAGTCTACTGGTATCATTGGTTCCACGACCGTGGAACGTATCCGTAGCTTTTTGATGATAATGCGCCGTGCATTGCAACGGCAAGTGGGGGATCGAGAAGAACATTTGGAAGCAGGGCAGAGTCGGTGTCAAAGTGTTGGGCGACATGGCGAGGAGTCCATGGGCTGGCCTGGTCTACAAGGAGTCGTCCGTGTATTCGTCGTCGCGTGAGTGTTTAGATCGGTATCTGGGAGCCCGGCCCAGTTGGCTGAGAAGGTCGTCCAGCTCGGCCCAGTTGTCAGTGTTTTCAGCAAACTTGCGATGTTTGCGTGTGAGAATGTGCTTCGAGTTGTTAGCGTGACAGTATTATTCAAGTCCCACTCTCCACATACCTCGTCAAAATCCTTAAATTTGTCCTGGCAATTCTCACAGTAGCCCGGCTTCAGGTCGCGCTTGCTCTTAGCAGGCGGAGCCTGTGTCTTGGAGCTGGTTCTTGAGAGCTTGGAACTCGGCTTCTCAGCGTCCTCTTCAATGAGCTCCATACGCCTGCTGGTGGTTCGAGAAACACTAGTAGATCTAGTAGACGTCGCTTCCAGAGACATCTCCGTGAGCCGCCGTGAGCTGGCATCTTGGGGAACGGGGGCGCCCCGTTGCAACACCTTGCGTTGCAGACCATGCACCTCCTTGCTCGTACCAGCCTTGGCTCCGTTGATGCCAGAGGTAGACGAGATCATGTTCGACCGGATAGCCGAAGTCACGTTGGATGGCTGCAATCCAGAGGCGACGGGCTCGCCGGCCAAGAAGCGTCCGTCGCCGGTCCGTCCTGTGAAAGCATGTTGAGTCCGCCCGAAATCAATCGGGTTTGATACCACAGCCTTGGGAGGGTTGAACACATCCATGGGCTTCATGGCAGCCCGCAACTTGTTCTGTCCCTCTTGCATCTCAGAAAGCGAGCGCTTTCCAACGGCTGCCTTTGGCGCAGGGACTTCAGGAGGCTGGAGAGACGGGCTATCTTCAACCGCAGGCTTGGCAGCACGCTCCTTGTGTTCCTTTGGATCCTTCTGCTGCGTTGACGGCTTCCGACTAGGCCGTTCAACGGGTCCGGGCTCTTCGACAAAGGGGCATCGGCCTTCGGTAACAGTCCTGAACTGCGGCCATTCGCCGTGGTACTTGTTATTGACCTTGGGATACTCCCGCACCATGATAGGCTTCTGCTTCTCGTCGATGTCGTAGATGTAGATATATGGCCCCTTGAAGTTGATCATTTCCCGGCTAGTGACCGCATCCGAGGGACCGTTCAGCCGCTCATGCTGCAGCAGCTGCAGTAGACCAGGCTCCTCCGTAGCCTTCTTAGTTCCCACGTTTCTCGCAGAATCGCGGTTGGCGCCATATGCCGCGACGACATGCGGGTCAGGCTCCAGCAGAAATTGCAATATCCTCTGGAACTTTTCCACCGACCAAATCTTCTTTCCCATGTCTCGAGCCTTGTGAAGCACATCGTTGCTCTGGGTTGATCTCGTTCTCCTGGTTCTGTCTTCGTGAGCCTGGGCTTGAGCTCGCCTCGAGGTAGTCTCTAGCAGGAGACGTCTTCGTGCGTCGGTAGACCTGTCGAGAAGGGAGGGGTTGATGGTCTGAGGCTGTTCCTCGAGTTCGGCATCGTGTGCAGCAGCTTGCACGTCCTCCTGCGCAGGTATCGGTCGAGCGGTCACAATGTGGGTGATGCTACTTGAGAAGAATCGTTCGTCTCTCTATACAACGAGTTGTCAGTGAATAGGAGCCAACAGAATCATGGCTGGCAATCTTTGCACATACGGCTCCAAGAGACTGAGCTTGACGGGCAAGCTTGGCCCTCTGGTCTTCCGGGACACTATCAAAGTAAAAGACCATCTTGGGAAACCTCCCGCGGTACTCGGCCTGCCATTGGCGGATCCTCTCGACATTACTAGAGTCATCGTGGTGTGTTGATCGTTCCTTTGTTATAGGGCGGCCGACTCGCTGGGGAAGCTGGGATGCCTTTGTGACCTTTGAGGGCGATCGAAGCTGACGCGAGCCGACATTTTCGACAACCTGCTTCTTGAACGGGGGTGGCTGGGCGTAGAGCTCCTCCCGTTGGATGTTGGCATGAGAGCGCTTCTGCTTGGCGTGGGCCAGAGCAGAAGCGGCTCTCAAGGGTGAATTGACCACATTGGGGTTGCTAGACAAAGGCGTTCGTCTGGTGGACATGGCCGAAGGAGGGATAGGATTCGGTGATAGGGATATGGCTGCCATAAAAATGCCCAATCAATATGCTTGGTGTGAAGAGGCTGTTGAAATATTGTCGATCGGATCTGAGTGGTTCGGAGGCGCTGCAGATGAGAGAGAGGAGGAGACAGAACGTGAGTATCTGCAGTGGTGGTTGTGTGGTGGCTGCGAAGAGGCGGGGGGGGGGGTTTGCTGCTCTGTGGACGAGCACGCGACGTGGGAGGCTACTACCTACACGTCGCTCACGCGTTCCAACAGAGACCGTGTCGACAAAGTTCACCAAGACATTGAAGACGGAGTTTGAGCCTGAAAGAAGTTGCAAAACCACACGAGCAGGAGACAAAGGAGGAGGGGAGGGTATCGTCGTCGGAGTCGTCGTGGAGGCAGCACCTGAGAGGTGTGTGGTGAATGTGCAGAGGAAAGAGCTTTCTTAATCAAGAGAGTGGTTGGTGTTGTGTGTGTGCGTGTGGTTGTGTGGTGGGAACACACTGGGAAGAGGTCCCCCCCCGTCGTCCACTCTTACCAGACCGTGGCCCCCCCGGGCTTACCCAAAGACCCATGGCAGGACCCAAGTCGCGCTTGACGAGTTTGGGAGGGGAACAACAGCGCTAATCCCAGTTGGACACGCCCAAAAACACGCACGGGCCAGACCTCTCTCCAGCAACCGGCCAAATTTGCTTGGCCCAGCGCGTCTTGCCAGTCAGCGCTCACAGTGGATGCAGCCGCTGTAGTACAGGCATAGCTCACTGTGATTCCGGGCAGGTCCCTTAAGGTAAGGTCCCCAACTTTACTGAACCTGTCTATTTTACCGCCTGCCGACCTTACCTTACCTCACCTCAGGTTCGGTACCTTACCCAATGCCCACCTCCCGTCAACAATAACAACCCCCTCGGGCAAAGCACCCGGGTGCTAGGCGACAGGCTGCCCGGGGTGGATAAAGGTGACAGGCGTGCAGATGATGGAAATTGGATGGAGCTGCCAGTGTGGAAAAACAATAAGAAAATCTTGCTGCTTCTGGGGCCATGTTGGATCTATTCCCCGGTGCATATGCATTTACCTACGCAATGTGTTCGAAAGTGACCATGATAGACATGTGTTGACGGGCGGACATTCGGATCTTGTCAAGTATCTTTTCACGCTTCAGAGAGCCTTGGAAACTTGAGGCATAATGCTATGTAGACGAATCATATGTGTTGCACCGTCTCCGTAAAAGATTTGCAAGGTGGCTGGCTGGACGGAATAAGGTATGGGATGTATAATAATACGCATGCAGATGCAAAACATGACCTGCATGTCTTCACTAAATACATAAAAAAGACTTAAATACACTCACTCTCATCTTCACTGCAAAATTCTCATCCACTCGTCATTGTGGCACGATACTTAAAAGGGGGGGCATCTAGGTTACCCCGTGTCACTCAAAGTCCGCATGCGTTCGCCATTGACGAGTCAGGACTGAGCAGTGAGCACCCAAATTCTCCTACACTGTATCCGTACCTTACCTGAGGTTGCCCGTGGTTAGCACCTCCGGTCATGACCTCATCCGAACCGTAGAGCCCGTCCATCGTCCGCGTCCACCTCCCTTGTCTGACTCTCTCACCTCACACCCACCACCCACTCCTCATCACGGAAGTGACAAGACCCGGTCATGAACGTCTCACGGCCGGTGAGCCGCGCCCTCCGTGCCGCACCGAGGTTACGCCCGGCATCACCATGGCGCCGGCCTCTGCCACCCTCCGCCGCCGTCGGCCGTCAGCTCCGGCCCTACTCCGACGTCTCTGCCGGCGATTTGCAGTTCGGCCAGCCGGTACATGAGACTCACCCTCACATTCTCAAAGCCGGAGAGAGTAAGTCAACTCCCACCATTCTCAGTCATACTCAGCTCAATCTCATGGTTGCCTGCTTCATATGAACCTCATATGAATGGCATGAGAATAAAGCTATCCAAAAATCACTTAGCAACTCATAGACTAACACCCCCCTTCAGTCACACCCGGCATAACAGCCCAAGAATACCACGACCGCCGCGCCCGCCTCGCCGAACGCCTCCCAGACAACGCCGTCGCCGTCCTCGCCGCCGCAGACCTCAAATACCGCTCGGGCGCCGTCTTCTTCCCCTACCGCCAAGACTCCAACTTCCTCTACCTCACCGGCTGGAACGAGGGCGACTCGGTCGCCGTCATCCGCAAGACGGGCAAGGACTACGGCGACTACGAGTTTCACCTCTTCGCCAAACCAAAGGAACCCGTCGCGGAGCAGTGGATGGGCGCCCGCAACGGCGTCCAGGCCGCCCTCGACATCTTCAACGCAGACAAGGCCGACGACATTGCCCGCATCGACCGCTGCCTCCCCGAGATCCTAAAGGGCGCCAGCAGGGTCTACACCGACATCCCGAAGCCGGGCAGTAGTAGTAGCGGCGAACCCGCGGGCAACGGCAGCAGCAAGCTCGCCAACCTCATGAACTCGGACAAATCCTGGTTCCCCTCCGTCCGGACCCCGCTCTACCCCGTCATCAACCAGCTCCGCGCCATCAAATCCCCCGCCGAGATCGCCAACATGCGCCGCGCAGGCCAAATCTCCGGCCGCGTCATCACGGACGCCATGCGCCGCGCCTGGACACGCGAAAAAGACCTCCACGCCTTTCTGGATTACCGCTTCACCGCCGACGGCTGCGACGGCCCCGCCTACGTCCCCGTCGTCGCGGGCGGGCGCAACGGCCTGTGCATCCACTACGTCGTCAACAACAACACCATCCCGCAGGACGAGATGCTCCTCGTCGACGCGGGAGGCGAGTACGGCACCTACATCACCGATATCTCGCGCACCTGGCCCGCCGCCGGGAAATTCACGCCCGCGCAGCGGGACCTCTATGAGGCTGTGTTGACGGTCCAGCGGTCCAGCGTCGCGCTCTGCCGCGAGGACGCCAACCTTTCACTAGATGAGATCCACGAGCACACCTCGGCGGGGCTGCTCGAGCAGCTTAAGAGCCTCGGGTTCGAAGGGATCACGTCGCGCGACGTCGACGTGCTCTTCCCGCACCACGTCGGGCACTACGTCGGGCTGGACGTGCATGACGTCCCCGGGTACGGGCGGCGGACGCCCCTGAAGAAGGGCCACTGCGTGACGATCGAGCCGGGCATCTATGTGCCGGACACGGACCGGTGGCCGGAGCATTTCCGGGGTATGGGCGTGCGGATCGAGGATAGCATCTGCGTGGACGAGACGTCACCGTATATTCTTACGACGGAGGCTGTTAAGGAGGTTGCTGATATTGAGGCTCTGAGAGACTAAGAGAAAGGGAAAGGGGGAGGAGGGGGGCCGGGCGACGTGGTAAACCAACATTTGTGAAACATTGTAAACCTCCGTGTATCCATCGCTGTAACAACATAGTAACGATACCAAAGTGGCACCATAGACTGTGCCGTTACACACAAAGAGAAGCCATTCCGCTTTTGCTGGTCGAGTATCGTTCCACTTCGTCCACCTGTGAGGTCGCAACAGAAAGGGGATCTGTAATCATGCAGCGTGGTCTCTCCATAGGTTAACATCTCGTATCAACGCTCCCATATCTACTAAATGGGACCAGGACCCTTGTTTCCTACCGGAGCTCAGAAGGCCAAAGGGGGCACGTTCCCGGCATAGACCTGGCGGGGCATCCTCCATGTCACAACACTGGTTCCTCGGGACTGATTCTTCAGGCAGCTTTTGGTCAGAGGCCATGTTGGTCAGCTGCTTCAGAACGATGTGAGATCACCGTTATCGCGGTATAAGTGGCTTGTGCAACATGTGTAGCTGGTTCCCAACTCATTCAGTAGCGGTTGAATGTCCACCCCTCCTCCTGTGTCACTGACGTTGATTTACCAAACTGAGTGTGAGTATTGGGATTTTCTTCAATCATCAATTCTTGGACAGGCCGCTCAAGGCGGTTTCGTTCACGGGCGGTCATGGAAACCTCTGCCAGAGGGGTCAGTAAATATCAATGACAAGCAAAGACATGAAAACTTATCATCGTCACTCTGAACAGCACATCAGCAGTAGTGCCAAATAGAATAGCAATTGGATCGTCTAGAGTGAACGTGTTCCTCCCGTAATTGAAACGTCTTGCTTTTGAGTAGACGGCTGCCTTCGAGCCTATTCTCATTTTTCCGTCAAATTTCATCTGACCTTGAAAAGTTTCTCGACCGACACATCACCAGGAACGACACCATCTGAAACACGTTGGTGGTCAATAACTCCTTTTTCTCATTCCCCAAAATAGCTCCAAATAATTCCGAACGCAGTACAACAGTTCATGGCAGGTCTGGCAACCCGTGATTATTCTTGACATGCCTACTCATTCCTCGTAGATTGACCACAATCGTATATTTTGGGGGGCAAATCGCAGCCCATTGAAAAACGTAATATGTACAATTCGCAATCGTAATGCGTCATGTGATGGGAGGAGGGAGATTCTTAACAGAAACCTCTTGGGTCGAACAGCGTCCTGCTGTAGTTCGGCATGGGGAATGGCTGCCGAGCCTGCGCGCTCAAGAGCTGCTCAAAGGCCTGCAGGCGCCTCGCGAGTTCCTGGTGCTCACGCATAATGGCCTTGTTCCTTCGTTCTAGATAGTGTATATATTCAGTCGCCTTCGTGAGGACGGTGCCCTGTAGATGAGTGTAAGCATGTGTTGCACGTTTGGCGAATGAAGAAAATCACTCCAGCTTACCTTGCTGACTTTAGGGCCGCGCTGCGATTGGCTATCAACCTCAGCATCTTCACCACCTCCTTCTTCGGGTATTGATCTCAGGGACGGCACCGCGTCACGCAGCTCCGAAATTCTGTCTTTGAGATTGGTACGGTACTTCCTCTCAATGTCGTTGTGTGCCGTTCGATCGCCCGCCTTCAACTTATCCTTGGACTTCTCAGATATACCAGTGGCATTGGTGGTGGTCCGTGACACTTGCGGCCGTTGGGTGCCGGGCTCCTCCTTTACGGAGGCTTTCTCCTTTTGCTTGCCCTTGTGAAGAGCCGCTTGCTCGGGATCGTTGGCCATGTCGTTCATGCTGCCTGATGCCATGCTGGCATCGAAGTTTTCCAAGCTCGCGAATTCTGGACCAAGGTCTGCTCCAACACCAAATCCCATGCCAGACCCTATACTAGTTGAAGATCGCCCCGTGTTGAGCGCTATAGCTAGCAAGCGTCGCTGTTCGGGGTCAAGCATGGGCGCACCCATGGCACCCATTCCCCCCATTCCAAAAAGGGGGTTCATCCTTAGCCCAGGTGCAGGCTTTTCCCAGCTCAGGGGTGTTGAGTAAAGACCTTCCCTGGGCGGTACCTCTTGAGGCGGTTGAGAATCAATCTTCCCAAGCTGGTCGCCGAGGTTCATTGATTCCAGAAAGTCCTCATCGTCAGAGAGGGCATTGTCAAGAGCGGCATCATCCATGAAGTCCTCTGGCTTGAAAACAGGATTGGTGTATAAGCCGGCACCCAGGCCAGGTGTTGTGGACATGGGGTTCAGGCGGTTTGCAGCGGGCCTAGCAATTGTCAGTACGTTGGCTTTTCTTTGATGCCCAGTAGTGAGTCCTAGACTCAAGTTGTCTTACCTAGGCCGGTAGTTTGGAGTAGGGTTGCTACGCCTTGAAAAGTCGATCTCAAAGCTTCCACCCAGCTTCTGTTCCTCATCATCATCGAATTGGATCCAGTAGTCGACCGACTCCAATGCAGCAGCCTCAGAATCGACCTTGGTCCGTTTCCGTGCATGACCATCTCTCCGCCGGGGATCTTGGCTCGGCGCAGCGCGGCTCGGTAAGCCTGGATTCCTTTCTTGACCACCATGGTTGAACTGCATTTGAGCTGGCATGGAGCCGAGCCCAAAGTTCGTGCTGGCAGGCGATGCCTGAGCAAAGGAAGGCAGCGAACCGGAGGGGCCATTGGACGTCGACTCAGAGTTTGCAGGGTCGCCGCCTAGGGACTCCCACAAGGCATTGTCCGGCGCATTTCTGGCAGCACCTGTGGCGGACGACTCGGCGGACTGCTCGGCTGAGTTTGTTGTTTGGTTGTTGGGGACGGCGAAGAAGTCGAAGTTTTTGAGAAAGTTGGGGTCCATCACAGCGCCAGCATTTCGGCCCCCGAAACGTCGGCGGTCGTCGATCTAGAAATCGATATATGCAATGTAGAGTGGATGTACAGCGGCTCGATCGCTTGCCGAATAATTCCTAAGCACTCGAGGCCCGGACCTCGTACGCTTCTTGGTCGGTGAAAGAGTTTGGCGACTCTAGATGGCCAGTCGTACCACCTCGTGTAGCCAATCAAGGCAACGTCGTCGTCCAATGGCAGCGAAGGCGATGGGGACAAACAGCGAGCAACAGTCGTCGGGGTCGTCGTTGGGCAAGGGAGGCAGGGCAGGATGCAGTGGATGAGCAGAGACGGTCGTTCGAGTTCGTGTACCGTCAAGAGTGTGTCGCTCGCGCAACAGCAGGCAAGGCGGGGGTTTCGCTTATTAAGATCAGCCAAGGTTCGAATCGTTTAAAGAATTGTTTGGCTCTTTGCGAGTAGGCTTGAGAGGGCGCAGGAGGCAAACGAGAGGCACGGGGACGGACAACAACAAGATCCATCAAACACGGGGAAGGACGAGAAAAGAGTTGAGGGTTGGGGGAGAGGAATATGTGGAGGCAAGGACGAAAATGACTGGTCACACCTTACGTATCCAACAAGGGACCCGTGGGAGGCTGCAGGAGGTTTACGGAGGCGGGAGAAAAAAATTGAGCGGTTCAGGTGATTTGATAGTGGTGGTGGTGGTGTTGGAAACGGCGGCAGTTCGTAGGAAAGCAGGCCGGGAATCGCGACTCGCAGGAGACAGCTGGAGCTCTGTACCGGAAGGACGAAGACAAAGTCGGCTGATATTCAAAGACAGGAAAAGTGACCCGCGCCGGATTCCGTGAGGGAGGGGGGGGATTGACTCGAATTGACTCGGGCCAGGGCGGCCGGGTAGGCAAAAAAAACTACAACTGGCAGAAAAGTGTGCAAAGGTTTGGCAATTGGACGGGAAAGAATGATGCAGGATCGGGAGGAATGGCCTGACATCGAATTTGCCAGTGGCCGGGGCACACTGGCTGAGCGTATCAAAAATCGACCACTTCATCTTGACAATCGTATGATGAACGAGGCTGCTGAAGGGGAGTCGTGCGATGGGCGCCGAGCTCCAGGACAAGGGTCATTCATTGGATATGCGTCGATCCGGCCCCACCACACCGCGCCCTCGTTGTCAGCCTTGCAAGCTGGCCCGAGCGTCGGCCCCAGAATAGACTTCCCGCTCCGTTAGGGTCCGGCTTCTTCTGGCTTGGTCTCCTCCCCCGTGTTCCCCCCCGTGCTCCCCCCAAAAGTCCTCTAGACCTCTTTCCCCGAATCGGTGTCCACGGGTCGGTCCAGTCCAATGTCCACCACCTCCCCCCCACCCTTGACGTTTTTTGCGCCGTCTCATAATTGTAGCAAGACCGTGATTCGTCTTCTCCAAATCCATACTTGCCGTCCGTCGTCGGGGCGGGACCGGCGCGGAAGTTCTCAAATGTCAGGAACACCACCCTCCGCTCCTCCCCTATGTCGTTGCATCCATTGCCCTGTTCTGCCCCCTGCCAAGTTACTTCACTTCAACTTGCCTCAAACAGACAGGCACGACCGTTGTGCCGTATTTCCAATGAAGACTGGCGGTAGAACCGTTTGTGGCGGCGGCACCCACGTGGACTGGCCGAGACAAGTGCCCGAAACGCCGTTGGCGCCGTTGAGCCAGCAATGTGCAAAGACATCTAGAACTTTTCTCAACACATCCTTTAATTGCTTTTCCTCCCTTGCGTTCCCCACGACTTCGACTCACGTCCCATTGTCAGTTTCTCTCATATAAGTTTGTTCGATTCCATGCTGCCTCAATCAAGTTTGCTGCAAGTGCAGCAGCTCCAATGCTCGTATTTGCGTTCGTTGGTCGGGCAGCGCTGAGGAATACGAAGTTTGGTCAAAGAGCATCAGGAACGGCAAAGTCGCTGGTATCACCACAGTGAATGAGAGCATCGGCTCCCATCCACGAACCTTTTTCTTGAGATGTATAAATACTCGCTCCTGGTTTTCTCGACACTTTCCAAAAGAATCACACACTTCATCCTCTCATTCGCTTCACCTCCCGAGTCGTCAATATACCCTCGCTCTACGATCACCATGAAGTTCATCACGGGTATCGCCACCATCCTCCTGGTTTCGACCTCGGTCGTTGCTATCCCAGCCAACCCCATCGCCACTCCTAACCCTCACCTTGAGCCAATGTGGCCAAAATGCGTCAAATTCTACAAAGCTACAGGTGGCGACACCTGCGATTCCATCGCCTCCAAGAACGGCATCACAAAGGCCGATGTCATAGGCCTGAACCAAGCCATTGGCGGCCTGCGTGGCTGCTCAATGAACAACATCTTCGAGGGTTACTGGTACTGTGTCAAGCCAGACGGCTGGTAATGATTTTGTCAAAGAGGGGATGGTCAGTCTCGGAGGACAGGCAAAGTTCACACGGGCGAAAGACGGAGGATTGCTAGGTGGCGGATCAAGTGAGGCTTCACATAGTAGCGAGCTGCTTTGGCATGATACTGTTAATGTTACCGACAAGTGCTAGTTACGGATAACAATTGCGATAAAATGCCAGTATCCGCCATATTTTCTTTCTCTGTGCAACTGTCATCCCCTTTCTTCAAGCCTTCTTCAAGCTTGACTCTCATGTTGCCATGAATCAACAACACTCGGAAAGAAGTCCTCAGACTTTTCGAGGGTTGGGGTCAGCGGCTCGACTTTTGCAATCGACACACTTGTCGGCTATTTCTTCCACCTTGTAAGGTGGCTTCGCTCCGAAACAGCCATCTCCGAACTTCGTGCAAAAAATATAATCATGAAAGCCCTCATGGCCGCACTCCTTATATTTCCTTAGCTTCTGCGTGCACATCTTCCTTAGTCTCTATTGTGGAATCCGCGGCTTGCTATTGGTTCCCTCGGCTTCGTAGGTGATGGGTCTTGCTATGTTTGCATCAGCATGTCGATTTACTTTTTTTTTGCCGGATTCCTGGCTTCATAGAGGTTCTATACGAACTGAACGATATGTATTCAAGACAACTTGTCTCTGCCAAGACAGACTATGACTCTGGAGTCAATTGTGCGGATAGCCTTCTCGTGTACTCTGTCTTGGGTTCTGGATTCGCGGGCTGTCTGAAAACAGCAGTATGAATTGATTTGCTGCCTTTTGGTGTACTCTGCTTCGGACTTTGGGTTTGTGGACTGTATAATAACTGTATAATGGACTGCTCTGTTGCCTTTTCGTGTACTCTGCTTCGGACTTTGGGGTCGGGCTGTCTAATAACAGCAGGAAGCCGAGGCGGAAAAGGCACTCCAAGGTAGAGCTTCAAGGCATCGGGTTCGCGGAGAGGGGGCTCAGAGGCGACTCTCTGACTGGGAAATAAAGCAACACGACAGGAGTGTTCAGAGAGAAAGGAGGAGCTCAATAGATTCTACTGAACATCAGCAGGTCTGGTCTTCAGAAGAAAGCGACACAGCAAAAGTGTGTTCAGGCCGAAAGGAGATATTCAGTAGGTAGGTCTCCCTGAACACCAATAAGGCTGGTTCACAGAGGCAAGTTCAATCTACAAAGAGCTGAACAAGATCAAAAGAAGGTCAACCATATGCCCCTCTCGGCGAAGGAGAATATTTGATGTTCTCCGGCGTACAACCAATACCATGTGGTCCAGGCCCCGTCAGACGCCCTGCCGCGTTCCGCGGTACTGGAAATGACGAATCGAGGCACAGTCAGCAAGGGAAGAACAGAAGCCCGTCGGTACATCACATATCAGAATTCTGTAGGGTGACTTGACAGCTTGGATGGGGAGGGGGGAAAGGGGGGGGACACCGGGAGTCGGGACTTGAGGTGCTCGTTCTCGTCAGCTTTTTTGGGGACATGCCACCGATGTCCGTTGTTTCCAGTGGACCACAACCGACGTCACTTCGGCGAAGAACTACGGGATTGGTGGGCCCTTCGATGTGTAACCTATCAAGCGGTCGGTTGCTAGGGTCTTTACCCGGCTCAGTGCAGAACGATATTGTCTACGGGTATGTTACACGAAAAGGCGGTGGGTAAGGGTACGGACATCTTTGTCTTCTCTTGGCTGTAAGGACATCGAGATTTATCTCGGACGCTCTCCTGAGCAAACAAGAATACTACGCGCGCGCTCTCTACTGCTCCAAAGAGGAGGGTCTTTCCGGATAGGATGAATGTACAGACCAAAGCAGTGAGCAGTAAAGATTGTTGTCAAAAGGTGGGGGCGGACTGGGCTCCTGATGATGCTTAAAGACCCTAGATCCCTGTTGACTCCTCCGGGGTACCATAAGCCCCCCCCCCCCCCGTCCTGGCCCTATCACGCACTGTCACTCTTTGATATGTGATCTGCTCAGGGTGTCAAACGTCAAAAGTCACGACGGCCTTCTGTTCTGTTTGTTTCCCAGCCGCAAGAAAAAGGGGAAATATGTATGTCCCTCTGCAAATCTCGCAGGGCTTCATGCGAGAAAGCGCGCGCGGGATACAACCTTGGACACTTCCGAGGAGGTCCATGGTGCCGTGAGGTTTGGTACGCTTGTGGCTTGCCGGTCGTCAATCGCCCCCTCCTCCCCTTCAAGGTTTCTCGAATAACCCCGCTACTGCGAGCTGCTGCGCGAATGGGCTGATGTGGATGGCCGTTTGCTTGCACCATTTGTCAGACGCACGTTCGTAGGCATGCATACCAGCGCACGACAGGCTTCCTCATGCAGCGAATAGTCTCTGACGAAGAACACCCATCAGAGTGGAGGAAAGTCGACGCCCCGAAATTCTGCAGGGTCGCTAAAGGAAAGCCGGCTGCTCATGTTAAGATGCTTCTTTGGACTCGGGTGTTGAAAGTAAGCACCCGGACGGGTCACGTCGTTCGGAGCAGTCATCGAGATGTCCGACCTCGTTGTCGGTTGAGGGTACTTCCGACCATATTCACACTGGTTTCAGTTGATTACAGCCTCTACTATGGTTGAGCCTACGTTATTCAACTTTCAAGGCTAGGAGCCGCGATGATGCCTTGCCTCGGCACCAGTCTTGCTGAGGGGATTAGGATGTAATGTATATGCCGTCTCTTACTGAACACCAAGTGACAACAACAGGCAATCGCAACGTGTATGAGGGCGAAATACTTCAGGGTGAACCGCACTATGCTCCCATCATACTCATGAGCTGATTGCGCGCTGGTTTTTAGGACTACACTGGTTCTTTACATTGTCCCTACAACAAGGCAAGTACGAGGCATTAAAGGATACACGCCCCGGACGGCGGATGATGATTTTTTAACATAGACTAGATTAACGATGTCTGATGTTATCATAAGGCCATCTTATATGAATGAAAGACTTGCCAGAAGGCATGACTTAGGTCATAAGAAAGCTGCTTATGAAGCAAACTTCACAGAGGGCACACCATGCAAGCCTTTTACCTCGAAAACCCAATAACTAAAATGCCGGTACTACTCCTACTCATGCCTCCCGTCCTCGAACACTCTCCGGTTACCTCGTCTCTAGCAGATGAAACTCAAGATCAAATCAAACATTTGATAGTCACGAGTTTGATAGTATCTCAAAATTTAGTGGCCATTTGAGGTTAAGATGCTGTGCCATGGCCAACCTCACAGCTTCCCAAGTCGACGAGAGCTAGGCATCACGACCCTGTCTGCTGTCTCCTTCCTTATGACGAATGAACCAATTCTTCCTCTCCGACTATTGACTCGTATTCGTACTATTTCATCTGGGTCTCTGTTCAAAAGTCATTTGTTGCTGCCGATTGCTTGACCATACAATACCAATGAGCCTAGGCGGTCACTTACATAAGAGATTCATTCGCCAAATTCATCTCATTTAGTTGAAAATTTCGATCGTGTCCGTAAGATTGCGCATTGCTGCATTAAGACAACTTCTGATTTAGTGATTCAGTTTCACTCCGAGGTTACTAATGAACCTGACGTAGTTCAAACATTTCACTCCTTGAACGCCTTGATGTTGTCCCTTCCCACTTACTCTCACTACGACCTACATCTTGAAAGCCTTATTGGACCGAGAACAGCCTTCCAAGTATTCATGTGACAATGTAAGGTCGAATGGAGTAAGGTTTTCAATCCTATTCAGGAGCGCACAGTGGTGGAAGGCACCATGGTAGGTCTTGCCTCGTCACGGGCACGCGGTAAATGGGAAGGTGCGAACTGGTGGTTGGCTTTTTCCGCTTTCAATGAAAGGGCCTCAGGTTGAGGAAGGCACTTTCCCGATGCACCAAACGCAGACCCCACGATCCATGCCTTCCTCTTTCTGTCTTCTATCTCATGTCAAGTACCTTCCCAATTCTGGAGGCTGCCTCATTCCATTCCGTCGTCTTTTCCAACAACTTACGGCCGAGACTCGCAACTTTCCTCCACACCGACACCTCTCCTTCTCACATATCCTTGCATCTGACCCGGGGTCACCTCACCGTATCCCACTGGCTGCAACATCGCTCTGTCGGTCCCCGTCCTTGAGTCTGTTGCTTCCCTCCACTTACTTCAACCCTGGACAAACAACGCCAAGGCGGCGCAGGTGACAGTATGTGGTGCAGTGTACCGACTGTTCTCTTGGTGTTGTTGTCGATGCGGGCATGGATCGACGGCGTTGAAGCCTTCTCTTGGGGTGGCGTCCAAACGAGAGCAGAACCCCCCAGGTCTCTCGAAGAGCATTTGGTGAACCCATCGGTTATGGTTCACGACGCATCACGCTTGCCGAATGTCTATGCTGTCGCCATGCAGGAGCTCCAAGAACTCGAATCTGAGCCTCTCTGCCATCGAATCGCTGCCCGGCTCCTGGTCAACAACTGCCAGCTGCTGGAAGGCAAAGATGACGCCACCGTCCTAACCGATAGCGGCAGACAAATCCGCGACTTCGTGGACTCTTATGCCGCCAGTCTTGCTATCTGTGATCTGGAAAGAGGCAGTTTTGTCATCCCGTCTGGTTGTGCACCGTTCAGAGAACTTGCTCTGGCTAATCTGCCGGCCTCAAAGGTTGCTCAGCTTCACGTCTCAACTCGGCAAATAGACTCGTGTCTCTCGGGCTTAGCCAAGTCCGACTCTGCGTGGAATACGTGGGTGAGTTACCGTCATAAAGCTCTCAGGTTCTGCGAAGCTGCTCGCGCAGACAACGACAAAGGTAAACGTCTATCCGCCTTACGTGGAAAGTCTTTCTAACCTTGCTGCAGCCCAGAGCATTCGTCTGTATCAACGTCTCACAGAAGTACTCTCCAAACTCTCCGAGGGAGTTGAACAAGAGCTTGAAGCCCACTTACACGCGATCAACTTGAGAACAGCCGAGACTACAGAGCAGCTTCGCCAAATGAGCCCAGACATCGATCAGTTGCGAAACAGCTTACAAGATCTGGACAGATTCGTTTCTGGGGACGTGATGCAGATGGCGCAGGTAGGTTCACCATAGCCTTTACTGAGCATTGCAACTCAACTGACTGGATAGGCATCAAATTCCGCGATGCGAGGCGGTCTCGAGGATGCCCAGAACCTGCAACAGCTTCTGACGGTGCTCCTCAAAACGGTCCTTAGCAGCAATGCCGAGGTTGCAGCATCACATGAGCTGGCACTAACAAACTTCAAAGATCGAACTGGTAGCGAGGTCGCTGTCGTCATGGCTGCGCTCGCAACAGCTGTAGCATCGTCTGCATCTCTTCATGATCAGCTGGTAAGCAAGTCAGGACCAATCGCTTGCTTTCTCAACTGATATTAGGCCTAGGAGCTATCACATCTTCGAGCGGTTGAAATAGCTGATCGGCAAGATCATCTTGAGAAGGTTAGTAAAGGAAGTTTTCGAAAGACCCGAACGGGTTGCTAAGTATTATCTAGGGATTGGAAAGACTTTTAGACATTACCGACGACATTTCCTCGAAATACGACTCACACTCTGAGAAACTTTCACACGTGAACCAGATATCAGAAGACCTGCTGGATACACTAGACGATATGGCCACATCGACATCGGAAGTTCGAGGATCTTTCACGCAACGACCGAGTTGGACGAGCTGGGTGCCGTATGTGGCGTGCCCGGCCGCATCTTTGCTCATGGGATCTTATGGTCTTCCGCCATCGGCAGTGCGGAACCTGGGACTCATTGCGCTCGGTAAGGCTATGCCGCGTTACGTTTCAAGAAAAGATACTGACTACCGCGTGCTCTACAGGCGAACTTGCTGGCTTCGTTGTATCTTATGCCAGATATCTTACGCCTGGTATCCTTGAGGCCAATCACCATACGTCCCCGATAATTGGCGCCATGAACAAAACCTTCATCTCCACGGCGGACCCCAAAGATCTTTTCAGAGACCTGCCGCTAGATATTCGCAACATCCGAGGATCGAGGACGACTTGAGGGGTGCTGAATGAGAGCGACATTTGACATACATCTCCACATCGAAACACCTACAAAGTTTATAACATCTGGGCAGGGCGAAATTGTTTCTGGCGTTTGCGATTTTATCTTTTACCGTCCTCTTTGCTTTTCGTTGATTTTTCGGGACGAGTCACTTGACCATGGACGTTGCAAGCGGTGGATATTAGTACTGGGAAAAGGGTTGCCTCTGACATCATTTCTCGCATATGGACTTAGCAAATCGCCTATTCGGCTACTAGGTATGCACTTTTAACCGGAGTTTGATCATTCTCATCCATTCATCTCCCCTTTTGCTGTCTTGTGTGCCTGTATCGCAGTGCAAGGCAGACTGACTGCGGGGAAGTGCATGAAGGCGTATTACTGTCTTTCCTCATAGCCTGACCCCGACCGCTAGCCGAACTTTGCCGTTGTCTCCAAACACCCGACCGTCTTGAACTTGCGGGATTAACTCAAGACGAGACGAAGACAGCGGCGATGGCGGACAATGTCAAGATCGCGCTCATTCAGATGCACCCTAAGGTCAGTAAGTCTAGGACTACCCCTCATCGAAAATGCTTAGCCCAGTCTAGCTCCCGCGCTTCCTTTTTCATGCGCCATGGCTCACGAGGTTTCCCTGCGGCTGCGGCGGCGGGGGACTTTCTGCCTCTTACCCGGGAGAAAAAAAAACAGAGTTCTGATGAGCAATCACAGGTCGTCGCGCCAGAGGAGAACTTCACCAAGGCAGAGGCTTACATCCGCACCGCCGTTTCCAAGGGCTGTTCGCTCGCCGTGCTGCCCGAGTACCATCTCACATCATGGGTCCCCGAACATCCCCAGTTCGTATCCGCCTGCGCGCAGTCCTGGACCTACCTTGAACGGTATCAGGCCCTGGCCAAGGAGCTAGGCGTGTCCATCGTTCCCGGGACGATTGTGGAGCCGGACGGCGAGGAGGGGGCGGACGACCTGGTCCTTTTGAACGTTGCGTACTTTATCGGCCCCGACGGCGCCGTGCTGGGGCGGTACCAGAAGAAGAACCTGTGGCACAACGAGAGGCCGCACCTGACAAAGGGCCCCGAGCCGCACGGCGCCTTTGACACGCCGCTCGGGAGGGCGGGTATGCTGGTGTGTTGGGACCTGGCGTTCCCCGAGGCGTTTAGGGAGCTCATCCGCGACGGGGCGAGGATTATCGTCTGTCCTGCCTTTTGGCTCGCTGACGAGTACAAGCGTGACAACGGGGCGGGCAACGGTGCGACTGAGGTGGTCAACCGGGACTCGGAGCGGGTTTTCTTGGAGAACGTCATGGTGACGAGGGCGTTTGAGAACACGGCGGCCGTGGTCCTCGTCAACGCGGGCGGGCCCGCGGGCGGAGGCGGAGGGGAGATTCGGGAGGAGGGCGGGGCGAGGGTGCGGTATTGCGGCGTCAGTCAGGTTGCGATGCCGCTTGTCGGCGCGCTCGGCAAGCTGGGCGCCGAGGAGGCGATGGAGATTGTCGAGGTCGATTTGGGGCTGTTGGATGTTGCAGAGGGGGCGTATAAGGTGAGGGAGGATATGAGGAAGGAAGGGTGGCATTACGGGTATTCGATTGTGAAGGAGTAAGCGACGATCAAAAGACAGTGTACGGTTCATAGGACATTTAATATAGACGGCAGAGAATCTTGACCGATGGCATGGTCATGATCAACGATTTTTTGATTGCGCAAGTCTGGTATCAACGGCATTTCTCCCTATCAAATGTGCCTGACAATCGTAGGCAAGTGAAAAACATGTCGTCCGCAGCTCATTGAGAGCTCTGCCCGGTCTCATCCAGATACGCGAGAAACTTCCTTCTCTGCGCGATACGAATCCGCGTGTGCTTCGACTCCAGGTAATCCCAGTACTTCTGTATCTTGGCCCCATCCGGGCCGCCCTCTGAGCCAGCAGCGTCGATACGCCTCAACCGCTTGTCATCATTAGCCGTCCATACTCCCTGCCAATTGTTGGGAAGGTCCTTGTGCTCCTTCAAGTACTTCACCAGACTCGTAGCTAGCGGTGCGCACAGCGAAGTAGCCATCAGCGCCAAGACGATATCCTCGCGCGGGTAGCCAAACGAGACGAACCGGTTCATGAGGTCCTCGAGCTCAACAGTCTTATCTGTTGACTCTTGAGAATCGACCATGGCTTGATCTGCGGCTTCCATCGGGGCTTCGTCTAGTTCTTCTTTTTCTTCTTCCTCTTTCCCTTCCTCTTCCTCTCCCTCTTCCGTGGGCGACTCTTGAACTTGTGCAGGAGTGGGTGACTGGTTCCGGTCGACCCCCTTCCCCTTATCTCTCTTGAAAGACAAAGGCAAGGGGGTCACAGACTCTTCCTCGCCCAAAAGCTGTTGTGATGGTGATATGTCAAACTCGATGCTGTCTTGCGATTTGTCAGGGGCGCTGAAGGCATCATCGAAGCCAAAGTCCTGTGTTTCGGGCTCCAAACGACGGGGCTTGCCAGCTGGTTCCTGTCCAGGCTCTTCTTCCTCCACGGCCATCTCTTCGGCCACCTCTACTTGCGCCTCACTGACCGTCCAGCGTTTTACGCTAAGCGAGGGGCTAGGGCCAAGGGTTTTGAAGCTTGCGAGACCTAGCTTCTCATCGGGAGTCGATGGGATCTCGTCGTCTGGGCCTAGGCGCTGTCGCTTCTTCCTGCTGTTTGGTGTCGACGGGAAACCAGACGTCTCGACAGTGATTGCTCGCCTCTTCCTAGAAGCGCCCGGGGTGGCCGCTCGTTGTGTCTGTAGAAGTTCTAGCGGCACGTCCGGTACGGCGTTTTCGTCGTCAGGCTGTGAAACCTCATCATCCTCTGACGATTCTACGTCAGGTTCGTCCAAAATGCCGCAGGTGGCAAAGTGGGCGACGTAGTCTGCATAGCATTGTTGTATCAGCTGGGCATCTTCAACGTGGAAGCCCAGCCCATCTGCAACTGCTGCCCAGTCGGGCTCGACCGCACCTTTCTGGTACTGGTCTCCAACAGCTTGCCACAATCGCCACAAGTCGATAGGCTGATCATTGATTTCGGGGTTAATTTGGGTGTCGAGATTGTTGTGAATACGGTAGCCCCCCAAATCGCCGTAGAATTTCTCTCTTGTGACAGCTGTGGGCTCTTTGACTCTAGGCTCCAGCACCTGTTTCGCCTCGTCTTTCTTTCTCACGGGGCTCGCACTAGATGGAGCAACCTCTGGCGCTGGAATCTCCGTAAACTGGCCATTCGACTCGTTTGGCCTCTCGTCATAAGGACTCTCGCCCTGTCGACTTGGCTTGCCGCTGGAAGCTGTGTCCGGTCGGGTCTTTCTGTCGACCGTGGGGGGTCCTTCAGGCAAGGATCCGCTCTCCTCAAGGCTTTCCTTAGAGCTCTCCCGAAGCCGCGGCTCCAATATCTGTGTCCAGTGCCGTCTCCACGCACCCTCTGAACGACTGGAATGCTACTCAGGTTCAGTCTAGTGCCGGCATCATTACTGTGAGGATTAGACGCACCTTTTCTGAGAACTTCTTGAAGAATTTGGTGTCGGGTGTACCGCCAAATCTGCCTGCCTCGCGTATCAACAGGTCGTCCTCTGCCCCTGTGAACTTGGTTCTCTTCGCTGGAGTCAATGGCGCTTTGACGTCTGGCTGATGGGTGGCGGAGCTCGATTTCGCCCTCGGTTTCGCCGCTGCCTTCGCCGAAGGCAATTGCGAGACAGTTTGGGCAGCCGGAGGCGCCTTCTTCACCGCTGGTCGGGTAGCTTCAGGTCGTTTGGAAGAAGTCGCGGCTGCCGGTGGCAGCGGCAATGCCATCTCTGGAGCAGCAGCAGCCAGCTTCTCGAGCTCGGTCGGAGGCAGCTTGGAAAGCTTCTTCACCCATCGATCCCTCCAAGAATGCCAGGTATGACGATTGTTCTACGATGCGTTAGTGATAATCAAAAGAGGTATGCCTCGAATTTCGAACTCACTATCGTCTCGAATACCTGATAGATCTCATTGCCGCTTTTTTTATTTGCCGCATGAGAAAGCACCCATTTGGAGAGACTCGCATCGTCGGCGGCGCTGAACGGTGTGCGGGTTCCTTTAACGGGGGCAGAGTTGGCCTTGGCTGCGGGACGGGAGCCGCCAGCAGGATGAAAGCCACCAACAGGCCGCGAAGCTCTGGGTGTCTGGTGCATCTCGTACTTATCCGTTTCTTGTATCGCGCCGTTATCGACGGAGTGTCTGATAAACTTCCAATCGAGCGATCCTGCTGGGGTAGGCCCATTGGCAAAAGTAATGTAGTGGTCCGCCTGGGTTTCCAACTTGGCGATGGTGCCGCCGTTTTCCTACACCAGTCAGCTTATAGAAAGCCTGGGATGTTAAAAGTGATTGCCTACCTTGATAAGTTCTAGGAGTTTCACTCTGTCGGGCACGCGAAGTGAAACAAAGAACTTCAGATCCTTGAAGAGAACGCCGCTGGCGCCGGGCACTCCATCATAGGTGATACCGCCTACCGACATATTTGGTAGAATATGAAGTTGCTTCTGCGAAAGTTCTAAAATTGGCTTTGGCGCACGGGTGGAAGTCTGAAGCTTGCTCTGGTGTTGCGCTCAGAAAAGTTGTTGATATTGTTGAGAATGAAACTCGGGACGGGCACTATATGTAGCTACAGCTTAATGTAAAAAAGCCTGGTCAAGTTGAGAATCGCGGTGATGCCCTAGGAAAGTACGATAGGGTGCCTAGTGGAAAGTATGGGTTCGTGGAAACGTCGCGCTTGCTCAAGTCGATGTTCTCCAAGGTCGAAGGCGTATGAAGGGCACATACAAACGCCCTTACTTTCTATGAGCGTGAGGAATAGGCGTCAGGAATATGACCAAGTGCCTTCGCCTTTCGGGAAGAACTGGCTGCCTCCGATTGACATAGACAACGATGCAGTTAAGTGAGTTAGTAGTCTTTATTACCCGCGCAAATGTATTGCCAACACTGCAGGTATCCAACGTATTAGTAGAATGATGATGATGATGATGATGTATTTAACGTCTGGTAACAAAAGGACGTGCCGGGCGCTATGCCGACATGGTCTATGCTACGTATTAGTAGAAGGCACTCAAGGGAGACGCGCTTGCTTGGAAGGGATGCCGCGTGTTCACGTGTGAACCACTTCTATGCGTCAAGATATTCCTTTTAAACGGTACATGATCATATACAGTATAGTATCGACAAACGGCCGTTTTAACGGTGCGCTATGACCATCACCATTCGATACAACGATACTTTTGGTATACTTCAGTGCCATGACATTGCTCTCACTTCAAACTCTCGCACTTCTTCGAACCTATGCCCTGTTTGACTAACAGCTTTGAATGCGTTCTCAGCTTCTTGAACTGTCAAAATCCTGTCTTGCTGCTGGGCCAAGGTAGTTTACTGACGAGGTTGGTGGGCCTACTTTAGGCTGACGCATCAAGGCTCAGGCCCTCTCCACTCGCTACCGGCCACGGCGACGGACAGTGGGCTTGTCATCCATCCTTACCCGCCTCAGCCGGCACACCCAGCCCGAAGTACACTAGGTGGAACGTCGCCATTTCTGCTGGTGTTCTCACACTTCAAGTTTTTTCAAGATCATGAGTTCCGAGAAGTCATAACACTTATTTTTAAATCATGGGCGCCCTCAGGAACGCGGCACTCTTCGTGCTGGCTGTCTCCTTCACCGTCTTCGTCGCCTTCTTCGGCCGACTACCGGCTCTGAGGTTCGTCATCGCGCTTACTTGCTAGCTGGGGAGCAGAAGCATCTCACTATCAAAACTATGAACTTACTGTTTCGGCAGACATACGCCCATTGCAACGATGCATAGAATAATGTGGATCCATATTCCAAATGGCTTCCTTGCTGTAGACAAACTCATAACGGGAGGGAGGTTCTCGACTTCCATGATACGCTTTGGCAACTTCATGATGCATGACCGGCATCCCACCGTCGTCGTAAGTATCCGAGTTCGCTACAGATTCGCAAAAGTGTTGACCAGACTGACACATTCTAGATATTCTTCCTGCTCATCCTCTCTGTTTCGGAATACCTGTATCTCCCAGGAGCGTGGCCCCAGATTTCCTTCTTCCACAAGATCATAGGCTGTGTCGTCATCTTCTTCCCCTACTGGTTTCTCTACCTGTCCGTCATGGCCGACCCGGGCTACATCACGGCCGAGAATCACGCCTACTACATGTCTCTCTACCCCTACGACTACTCAATCTTCTACCCCGGACAGAAATGCAGCACCTGCAACCTCATCAAGCCACCCCGGTCCAAGCACTGCAGCATCTGCAAACGCTGCGTCGCAAAACTCGACCACCACTGCATCTTCATCAACGGCTGCGTCGGCTACAAGAACCAGCACTACTTCGTCCTGCTCCTCCTGTCCACCGCCATCCTAACCTCGTACGGCGGGCTCTTGGGCTTCTCCCTCCTCTCCAACAAGATCGCCTCCAACTACCCTCAATGGGCGCTGTGGCCGCCAAAGGGCATGGAGATCAAGGAGTACCTCCTCATCTGGAGCTGGGCCCTGCAGGACAACGTCGGCATGGGCGCCGTCACCCTCCTCGCGGCCATGACCTCCCCTTTGGTCTGGGGCCTGCTTTCCTACACCTTTTGGCTCATCTACTGCGGCACCACGACCAACGAGTCGCTAAAGTGGTCCGACTGGAAGGCCGAGATGGACGACGGCTGCGCCTTCAAGCGCGGCATGCCCGCGAACCGCGTCAGAGACAAGCGCTTCGAGCCGGAGAGAACGCGCTGGCCGCTCCAGACGCAGCAGGTGTTGACGAGGACCGAAGACGGTATGCCGCCTCCGGACCACGGGCCTGGCGATGGTGAGTGGGAACGCGTGTGGAATCTGAAGGATGTCGAAAATCTATACGATCTGGGGCTGTGGGATAACTTGGCGGATATTTTTGTGTCGAACTACGACTTTAACGTCAAACGAGACCAGCCGTCTGTGGAGGCCATGGGGCGACAGAGGCATTCGCCCAAAGCCTGATTCGTCGTTTCTTCGATAGGACAAGTTTTGTATACGTAGAGTACAGAATTAATGTAACATGCCACTACCAAAAAGGAATGCCATTGCCAGCTTGGATATCCGTGATTGAGGTAGCCAGGACAGTATCATGTGGGATTCACATCGGTCAAACTGAGGCATAGCATATCATAGTACGTATAGCATGTGTAGAGGCTCTTTCGACGTTTGTCTTTGTTTCATTTCAACGTGTCTCATCTAATTCGTACCTGGGGCTGCTGAACCCAAGGGAATCTCAGACGCCCCAGCTACTCGGGGCTGATGTAGCCAATCTGAGGATCTAGTGATGCATGCCGCAGAACTCTCCGCACCGCTCATCCACGCCAGCCCACCGACTGCAGAAAGTTTCACACTTCTGAAGCAGGAATATGGCTTGATGTGGCCGCCGACTGTCCGAAATCTATCTTCGACTTGAATCAAGCTTACAGAATGGTCCCGAATCTAGGTAACAGCAGATGTTAGAAGGAGTGCTCCTCAGCACGGATCAAGGTAACAAGTGGTAACATACCCAAAAGTGCGTTTGATGCTGTTGACGTAGTACTCTTGCCAGTTACGCTTCGTGGCCCCCTCCTCGCCAACAGGCACACCATCCCAGTTGACACGCATCAGCGTGACGTGGTCGACGTCGTTCTGGTCAAACTCGATGCTGAGCTTGGAGAAGTGACCCTCGGGCCACTGCTTCAGGCGCCAGCTCTGGACAATCTTCTTGGGGGCGCTGAGCTCGAGGTACTCACCCGTGACGTTTCCGTCAAACAGCTCAAACTTTGCGCCCTTGATGGCACCCTGGAAGACCTTGGGCGGCGCGCGGGTGAAGGCGGCGATGCGGGCGGGGTCGACAAAGGTCTGGTAAGCTTCCTCGGCCGTGGTGCGGAACTCGGCGGTGTCGGTCAGAGTCATGGTGTTGACGACCTTGCCGGAGCTACCCTTGACGCTGGTCGAGGCCGAGGTGGACTTGGCCGCCGCGTTCTGTGACTGGTACTTGGGCGTGGAGAAACCGCTGGAGGGGTTGGATCCGGGAGCATGCTGGATATCCTTGCCGTGCTCGGCGATCAAGGCTCCGGGGAGCTTGAGGAACTCCTTGCGGAGCTCCGGCACGAGCTTGGAGCGGACGAGGTCCTTGACAGGCTGCTTCTCCTTGGAGTCGGAGTAAATGTCGATGTCAAACTAGCAGGCAGGCAAAAGTCTCAGTCAAACGGGGGGTCCTTTTGGCGATGCAGAGATTTCACAAGAGAGAGACCCACCACAAACTCATCCTCCTCAGTGTCGTGGGCGACCTCAGGAACGGTGATGGTGCCAGAGACCTCAGCCTCGTCGGCGGTGGTGCCTGCGCTACGTTAGCGAGGCTCCAGAACACACGACTTCACAAAATATGGTACAATGTCAGGCAGAGAAAGTCGGTTGACCGAGATATTTACGGGATGAAACACATGTGCTTGCATTGATGGACCTACCGGTGTATTCTAGAACGAGCTTAACATCGTAAATGGTGATGACCTTGCCCTTCCTTTGGCTAACGTCGACGTCGCCATCCATGCTCACAACCTTGCTAATCTTTGCCGTGACACCGCCATCGGCAGTCTCGACTGTCGCCAAGCTCTCCTCAAGGTACTGCTTCGCCCAGGCCGAGGCATCCTTGTTGACCCAATGCCAGTTGTTGGGGTTGTGGAGGACCATCTTGTCGGCGGTGACTCGGTTTCTGATTTAGGCTGCGAGGTAGGAAATGGGTGTCTGTAAAGATTCCAATTGCAAGGTTAGCAGAGGAACAAAATGCGTCGAGGTTGCGTAAGGTTGAAGAAGTAAACAAATTGTCGGTTTGTCCCGGATCAGTGGTTGGTCAATAGACCGCAGCGTTTTTCATCAATAAGGGAGTACAAATCACTCTATGACTGGTGCCAGCTGGTGTATCATCATATTGGGAGAAGATGGAAAGGAAAAAGAGGCGCGGGGGTAGATAAAGAAAGGGTGAGATTGGGGGGAGTCAGTCCTTACCTCAGTGCGGATTGGCGCGTTGGAGTGTCATGTCCAAGAAAGCGTTGCGCATGGAAAGAAAAGGAAGATGGGATTAAGTCTGAGCGCGGGACCTCTTTTGAAAGAAAGCTCTAGAATTCTGACGGTCTCTCCGCTGCCAGGTGGGCGGGCGGTAAATATTCGGCCGATTGGTTTGCCCGTGGTTGCGGCTGAACCCCACCTTACTCGTGTCCGACCTGCCTGTTCAAGGTCACCAAATTGGTAGACCGAGCGTGGCCTGTGCTCATTGCAGCATTTGGGATCAATTGCCTCACGGAGAAGCTTCCTATTCAACATTCTTCCGAAGTTAACTGCACATGTTCATCGTTTGTCCAAATCAATATTGCGTACCACAAGATCCACGGACAGACAAGCCCACAAGCCCGGCTCGGATTACTTTTCGCTTGTCTCAAGCTGGTCAGAGTTTCAGGGCAGTATGCAAACTACGTCGCTACTGCAGCTTTCTTCTTTTCTCCTCAAGTTGGACCAGATCCCTGGATGAAATAGGCGAGAATCGAGATATCTTGGAGCCGGTACATGGAACTGCAGATGTCGGCTCATCAGGCAAACCATTTGTCACAAAGTCTTTCTATCAATCCGAATGTGAGTCGTCCACATGCCTTTTCTTTCATCCTCTGGCCTCTAGCCGAACTTCGAGCAGCAAAGGAAAACATCTATTCGATGAGACCTCGTCCACGATACCTACAGCTGCAAGCAAGTCCAGCTCACAAAGATGCAAACATCACTTGCTGTCCATTCGCATCAAACCATGTCAGATGAAACGGCTGGCTTGCAGGCCGATATGCAAACTGAGTGCCTTCAGTTCCAGGCCGTCTTCTGGAAGCCGGATGTGGTCGCTCTTGGCCTACTATTTCCGTGCCATATGGGGCAGGGTTATCTGCAGTCTGCGATGCCATCGAGTGATTACGTTCTGACCATTGCATTCACACGATGTCACTGTGAAGAGGCCTAAGGACGGGATCTCAACGGATGAAACCTGCTCGACTGGCTGGTTGCCGCAGTGCCGATGCTTGCCAAGTTGCCTCGTTGCACAGTAATGAGATACCAGATGGCCGATGCACTTTTCAAGGTCGTGCAGTCAAAGATATGTTTGACGGTATCGATGAGCTCCATTCCCAGCGCTCGGGCACTCAGCAAAGCCAAATCCGTTCCTAGCAAACAGGCCTTGAGCAATATTTAGAACTTCCATGCCTGTTCTTTGCATTCAACCCCGCAGCTTCACATACGGAGAACCCACAGGAGGTTTCTTCATTCACGTGGAAGCTATCTGGTACCTCAACCCTGTTCAGTTACAGGACACGGCCCAGCCACCCGATATAAACTCCAAAGACGGCCAAAGTTCCAAACAAGCAACAAGTCGGTGAGGAAGATCCCCGAGGTCTGGCTTCTGACTAGGACCCAAGCTTGCTCAACGCTAATGCCTGCCTCCCTCCCTTCAAGGCTGGTAGCCAACAACCGAATCACTCGTCCAGCTTCATCGGGCGGACGGCGGCCGCGGAGAGGAAGTAGGGCCGGGAGAGCAACGAGTTCACGGAGGGCTTTCAGACTGTCGAGCAAATCGAAGAGCATTTTAAGCGCCGACAATCACCTCCACGTTCTTTTCACAGCGCCATCAACCAATCACGACCCCAGACATCTCTTTCACTAGCCAGGGTCTAAGGATGCTTCCAAGAATAGATTGACCTCGCACCAGAAAATCAACCAATTATTACGGCCGCCTACCAACGTCTCCACGAGTCTTTTCTCTTGGCTCCATCGAAATGACAGGCCACTTTGGACCGGACCCTGGCGCGATGCTCACTCATCTTTCCTCTTGTTGGGCCGTGGCAGGTCGCTACGAGCCTTTGCGTATGCTGCTCGCTTCTTCTCGTTGGTTGTCTATTGCTAAAGTATACTGTGATAAGGTCCGCTAGCTGTCCGTATGTCGAGTCGATAACACTCAGTACTGCGACCCTGACTCTGAGGTTCATGCCTCCCTACTTTCTAGCATGCCGTCCTGGCCGGTGGTCGTCGTAGCATTACCACGCCATTTCATCATTCACAAGAAGGAGAAGAAAGCCAGAGATTAACTGCAACGGCGGACCCGAGACGAGACAACAGCAACGCGGATAGTAGCACCTTAGCTTTGTCGGCATCTGCAGGCCTGTCATGCAGTCGCGACAGCCACATGGGATGTTGCTGGTCTTTCCGCACTTTGCTGTCCGGCTCGCTTTCACAACCCCATGCCGCAAGCAAGCAAGTGCTGCCCCTCGCGGATGGACGAACGTACCCATTCCTTGACACCCACTTCGAATTAGCTCAAAACCCTGTCATGTATCTGTTCCCGCTATGAGGTACATATGTGCTCTGCAGCGAAGTCGGGAAACGAGCTAGTCACTATGTTTGCTGCAAGTTGCAACAACTCAGCGCCGAGCACCAACTGCCTTTTAGTCCCGGCTTCGAGATCCACCATTGCGCTTTTGCTCCGGGACCCGGCTGCTATTCCTGTCGTTTCCTCGTGCTCCCGAGAGCCCGCTGTTCTCCAAGCCCCTCCTCCCTCTCACCCCAATGTCTTGAATCTCGGCCACCCAAGAGTAGGGGTGCCACAGGGGTGCAGTTCTGTCGGCGGGCGATCAAGCGTGAGCCAAGAGCGAGCCAGCAACCCCGGTACCTCTCATGCAGGAGGTTGACCACATTGCAGCAGACCCGGCCTAGACATGAGCGTCTCTTTTATCTTCTGCGTCCTCCCACCCAAACTTTTGTTCCCTTTTCGCTTCAGCCGCGCCCTCCCCCCTTCTAGGTGTGACACGACCTTACTGCCGGCTTCCGTTCGTCCTCTCGGTTGTGCGGTGTGCTCCACGACATGAGATTGTCTTCCCATCAGTCAAGTTGAATGGGCTGGTCAAGACTGGAAGATTTGTGAAGAGGTCGGCAAGTTGCTGGCTGAGGTATCCTCAACTCCAGTGAGGGTCTAAGTCGTCCTCATCTCCTCGAATCGACTCCGGTGTCATTCCGAGTCCACAACTCTTATCAAGCTTCTGACGTCGCCGGAGTTGCTCAACTCAGCGTGTGGCCGTCTGGCTTACAATGAACAATCCTCGCGATCCAACCCGGTTGCGCCAGGGTCTCAATCCGCTGTTAACTCAGTCTCTGGGTGCATACCACAACCAGGCTCACACGCCGCTGTCAGCGGTGTCCTCATCGCACTTACACTCAGCTTCTCACACGCCCGCAAGCGCAATACAACCTTACAACCCACAAGAATGGATAGCTTCACCTGCTGCTGGGTCCGAAAGGTCTCATCAATCCCATCAGTTTCCTGAGCAAGGTATGTACTATCCAAAAGTCACATTGGCCCTGACCAGCTTTGCTGATTAGTTTCTTGAAGGATCACCATTACCTCCGCCGCCTTATAGTCCACCACGAAGCCAGCGACCACAAAGCGGTTTTTTTGAGTCTTCCCCAGCGGCCAATACGTCGGCAGCACGTATTCCTCCGACAAATCTTCACAGGCCATCCCCAGAGCCTTCAACGAACACATCGTTTCCTCCCCCGCCGGGGACCGGAGGTCGGACAAGCTCACGCGAAAGGCGCTTCGGCTTTCATTCCCTGAGACGGAGCAGAGAGCCCCAAGAGTCAAGTCCTCCGGAGCTGATGCCGCCTATGCCGTTACCAAGGCCAACACCTCTTCAGATCCAGATCCCGCATCCAATGCCACACCACAACGATCCAAACTCATCTCACGGTCCGCCCGGTGCTCGAAGAGCGGCTTCCGCCAGTGCAGTCGAGACACCAACTTCAGCCCGCTCACGTTCGGCGTCTCAGTCAAGATGGGAACCGGGAATGCCCCTCCCGCCGCCACCTCCAGTCCCACCACCAGCTTCGTCTCGATCACAGAGCGTGCAGAGCGGGCCGAGAACGACTACACCCGTGGCTTCACCGCCAACAAGGCGTCCTCCGCCAACTGGTGTTGCGGCCCTTGGGCCAGTACCTCCGACTCCTGCAGACTGGGTTGATCAACCCGAGGAACCTAGTAGCTCTTCACAAAGGAGACACTCCCCGAAACTAACCATCGATACTGCTAGTGCTGCGAGCTCTGCACAGACCGGAGAGTCGAGCAATTCCGGCGCATTGAGCTCTGGTGGCAGTCTGAGTCGGGCGAGAGCAGTCCGCCACGACAAGACCATCGTTCAGCGCCGTGCCGAGAGTCGGACCAGACCGCATAACTCGATAGACGGGACCATCAACCCAGTTCAGCTCAACGACATTGTTGTTCCGAATGAAAATACACTGTCTCGCCGGTTGACGATCAACAGATCAGGACCAAGAAGCGGGGGCCGGACATCGAACGACACGCCCCGGACGGACGAGCATTCGACTACGCCGCGGGCGCCTGGTTCGTCGTCTTCACGGACCCGAATTGAAGCGGCAACGCCGCCGTTCTCACCTCACCCGTCAAAGGGCACACCCATGATGGATGGATCACCAAGCGTCTTGCCAAAGGCGCTGCCCACGCCGCCGCCGCAAACCCGATCGGCATCGAGCTCTCAGACAAGATTCAGCTCCATGACGCCTGCGGACGGCCCTTCGTCGGCATCGATCTCATCCACCAAGCACATTGTCATTACGCAAACTGCGGATCAGTTCTGTTGCGAAACGATTGAGCGATTCCAGGCATTTGCTACCCAAGAGTCCACCGCGGCCACTGACGCCGAGCGGGTCCGCATGTTTGCAGACTTCATCGTAAACGAGTCCAGGATCAGGCGCGAAAGATATTCATCTGCCATCGGCGCAATGGGCTCCGAGATCTTTGACTTGACCAGGGATCTCTTCCGCCCCATGGTCACACGGCGTGAGTCGACAACTTCCCAGGCTGAGTGGACGCCCCAATCATCTGAACCTACACGATCCCATCGCGGATCGATGAACTCGGTCTATCGCGAGACGCCCGGGGAATCCAGCTCCGCTCCTACGTCTGCGAACGTTCCGGGCTCGCCCATTGTACCTTCGGCAAATAACCCGAACTACTCCTCCAACTACATGCCGTCGCTGTCTCCGATCTTGAGTCTCAGCGTGAGCGACAATCACGATGATGGAGACTCCCGGGGCCGGCCTGCCAGTAGATGGTGGGAGGCAGACTCGTCAGGGGCAGGAGGGAAATTCGTCGAAAGGTCCAAGAGAGAGTCCAAGTACATGGGCGTGCCAAAGGAGGCCCACGAAGCCTTGCAATGGGAGGACAGCCCGCAAGCAGGCCCTAGCAACCCAAGATCTTCGGGCGAGTATCCGCCCGAGAAGACGGGTTGGCATGACCTGAATGAGCCTGTTGTCACGCCGCAGCCACTACGGTACTCATCGGAATCACTTGGATCTTCAGCTTCGCCGACGACGCCGAACCCAGCCCATCTGGACGTCTCTCGACTGGTCACTCTCCCGCCGCCGTATCCTCGCCACCACCCAGCCGTAAACAACAACCACCCAGAATTGACCGAGACTAGAGTGGCAGTTCGCCAGATCAGCGACCTGTCCGAGATTGAAACTACAAAAGAAAGATTCCAAGTCACCAGCGCAAAGAAGCGCGAGGAGGCCGCAAAGGCCTCCGCCGAGAGGCGACGTGCCGTGCGCTCCAATCTACAGCAGGAAATCGACGTCGGTAATATGACGTTTGCCGATGCGTCGGCCATCGAACAAGACTCGGTAGCAGCCGAGAAGGAGAAGCTAAAAGAGCTGGGCAAGACAGAGTTTGAGCAGTTCCAAAGCCAGGTCGTCATGCCCCTCAACGACCTCATCACCGGCCGCATCGCCCAAGCCACGACCCTCTTCGACAAGCTGGCGGGCGGCCTCTTCGACGACGTCGCCAGCGCCGCCGACATGCCCCAGGAAGAAGGTGACGACAAGCCCGAGCTCCTCGAGAAGCTGACGCTGCTCAAATGGATCTTTGAGGCGCGAGAGATGCTGCACCGCGCCATCTTTGACGTCCTCACGGACCGCAACAACCGCTACCGCGACGTCGTCCTTACCCCCTACCGCCTGGCCGGCAACGAGGAAAAGCTCCAAAACGCCGTCGCTTTCTTCGCCGAGGACGCCGCGAAGCGGCAGCTGGCGTTCACGCACGAGGTGTTTGCGCGCACGCAAGAGTTCCAGACCGTCATGGAGCGCAACGTCATGCGCGGCGTCGAGGTGCAGCTCTCTGCGTTTTGGGACATTGCGCCGCCTCTGTGCCGTCTGCTCGACAAGATCACGCCCGCTGACCCGGAGGCGCTGCATATCCAGATCCCGTCGGCTGAGTATGATGAGAACCCGTCGTATCGCCGGCATCCGCTGCAGTACCTCTTTAGTTTGCTGCTGCACACGGAGAAGAGCACGTACCAGTTCATCGAGTCGCAGACGAACCTCTTGTGTCTGCTTCACGAGGTGAAGGAGGCTGTCACGCACGCAAAAGCCAAGGTGGTGCAGAACGAGATGGACGATGGGCGGGGCAGGGAATTCAGCGCCGAGGAGCGGGAAGCGCGCGCGCAGCGTCTTCGTGAGGAGGAAGGTCGTATGTTGACGGACGACTTGAAGGAAAAGGTGCGCGTCGTGCAGGACCAGTGGACGAGTGCGCTGGGCGAGAATATCAAGAATGTGAAGCAGATGTTGGGTGAGTATCTGCTCGAGACGGGAGGGTGGGATGAGACTCTGGAGGAGGGCGGTGTCGGCAGCGTCTGAAAAAGAAGCTTTTTTGCAATAGACGAGAGAAGGACAGACGGTGGAGAGGGAAGATGGTTGGATATGATTTCTTCTTTATATCTTCACGGCGACGAAGACGTTGATACCCCTTTGCGTATGACGACTCTTGTTTACACTTCTTGTATATATTCTTCCAAGAAACTCTAGGGGGGGTTTGCGACCCGGGAATTAGCTAGACATGGCACGAAGATATGATATTGAACGGCTTGAGATCTTTCAAAGTATTTAAAAATGAATCGTGGTGATTTGACTTATTGTTCTCTCTATCTGTTTGGGAGACGTTCTCCGCGCCCCTTATACACAGCGATATTTGTCGTCCAACCCTTTCCCACCCAAACGCCCTTGATGTTACATTTACAAACACGGCACATGGCCATCCTCCCAAGGGTGGAAGGTTTGTTGTGCCGCCCCACGATCTTGTGCTCTTTTGCATCCTCAAGGGGTCTTCCTTGATTCGACCAAAATCTCCCTCCATCCTAGTTGATGGCCGTTCGTAGATCTTCTCGTACAAACGAGCTCCGTAACTGGCCATCAACCCACTGACTGTCGTCGTCTTTTGTACACCCCATCTCCGGACTGTAGTTCCCTCGCGGAAAAACTCGAAAACATCCGACAAGCCCACAACACCCACCATCAACCATTCGTACTTCATTTGTTGTTCAACCGGTCGCTAAACTCCTTTGGCAGGTCCATACCGACCCTCCGCGCCGTCAAGCGCACGCGCTCCTCCTCGTCCATGTTCATGCCCGGGTTGTAGCGCTCGACGAGGGTGACGTAGGTGCGCTGGGCGCGGAGGTAGGCGGCGAACTGCTCGGCCTCTGCGGCGTCGGCCTCGGCGCGCGCTGCGTCTGCTGTTGCTGCTTTGGGGACACCGGCGGCGGCGGGGGCGAAGCTGGTGCGCAGGCGGTTGTGGATTGCGGAGCGCTTGCGGGCGAGGACTGGACGGGGCGGGAGCTCGCGCAGGAGGGAGCGGTAGAGGGAGCGGAGATGGGGCACGGAGGTCATTTTGGCTGTTTGATTGATTGATTGCGTTCTGTTTGGTTATGAGATGTGGGACCCAGATGGTTGGGAGCGGCGGCGGAGGATGTGGTGTTGGTGGTGATGTTTGGCGTGCTGACGATGCGACGGGAAGTTTTTTGGATTGAAGCTTTGCAATTGAGAACATTGAAATCCGAGGCCGGGGTCCTCCTTTCTTTGGAGCTCTCCCGTTACGCTCAGCAGGTGGACCCCCCCCCCCCCCCCCGTCCTTGGCGGGGCCCTGCAGCACCTCAGGCTTTCGGGCTACAGGCACTTGAATACAGCCCGCACCAGGTACCCTAGAATGGATGCCGCCTGCAGCTCGAATTACATAACCTGAGCTGTAAGTGCTTAGGTTCCATTCTTACAGCACACCTCAGCAGCATGAACCGAGCGGCTATCGGTCCCATGGCCCGGCGCCGGCACCGGGAGCAGGCACGGATGGAGGGGTCTTGACTCTTGACCCCTCCTTGACAGAGCAATTCTCAGCTCCCGAGTTGCAGCAAATGCTTACCACCACACTCAAGCATCTTGTTCTCCAGGTCTGATTTTTCTCTGGTTCTCGTAAGTACCTTATCCACAGAAAGAATTAAGTGGAGGAGCGTTAAAAGGCGATACCTTAGCTCTACGGATACCTACTACTGCGCAAAGTTGGTCTTGCCAGCGAATTGACTCGTTTGTGCGTCCACAATGGCCCATCCCATGACGCAACAGCCGCCATGTTAAACACATGCTGGAGCCATAGAGTGAGCCAGGAACCAAGGAGCTTTGCCTCTTGGACACAACTTTCCCCCTCCTCCACTGTCCACATCCACATTGCGCATCCACACAAACCACCTTTGACCTCCTCCTCTTGTACGTACTACGTCTAGACGTTCCATGCCCTCCAAGGTCCGACCATCAAGCGGAAACAACAAAACGAGACAGGAACCCACCTCCCGTCTCTCTTTCGTGCCCTTCCTCCTCATCTCCTCCGTTCTCGTCGTGACCCTGGCTATCCTATCTCTACGAGCTCTCCCCCGGCTCTCCCTCCTCTCGAACCACTTCTTCCCTCTCGCCACAACCACGACCACAACCCTCTTCTCTTCCTCCTCCACAAAGAAGAACTCGCCCGCCATGTCAAACTACGCAAAGGAGCTAGAGGTAGCCCAGCTGGCCGTCCAGCGCGCCTCCATCCTCACCAAGCGCGTCTTCCACGAAAAGGCAAAGGGCACCGTCGACAAGAACGACAAGTCCCCCGTCACCATCGGCGACTTTGGCGCCCAGGCCCTCATCATCGCCGCCCTCCGCCACCACTTCCCCGACGACGAGATCGTCGCCGAAGAAGAGGCCGCCCAGCTTCGCTCCGAACCCAATCTCCGCGACCAGATCTTTGACCTCGTAAAGACCACCCAGCTCGACGACGCCGCCGCGGAAGTCTCCCTCGGCGGCGGCATCGCCTCCGCCGAGAGCATGATGGACATCATCGACCAAGGAAACAGCAAGGGCGGCGCCGCCGGCCGCATCTGGGCCATTGACCCCATTGACGGCACAAAGGGCTTCCTCCGCGGAGGGCAATACGCCGTCTGCCTGGCCCTCATGGTCGACGGCGACGTCAAAGTCGGCGTCCTCGGCTGCCCCAACCTCCCTGTCGACGACAAGGCGCCCCTCGCCGCTGACATCGGCTCCAACGCAAACGACGACACGGGCTACGGCGTCATCTTCTCCGCCGTCCTCGGCCAGGGCGCCACCTCGCGGCCCCTCCGCACCGGCGCCATCGCCTCCGGCAGCTCCATCTCAATGAAGCCCGTCACCGACCTCTCCGCCGCCACCTTTTGCGAGAGCGTCGAGGCCGGCCACAGCGCGCACGACGACCAGGCCCAGATCGCCGCCAAGCTCGGCATCACCAAGCCCAGCGTCCGCATGGACAGCCAGAGCAAGTACGGCTCCATCGCCCGCGGCGCAGGCGACATCTACCTCCGCCTGCCCGTCAAAGCGACGTACCAGGAAAAGATTTGGGACCACGCCGCGGGCGACCTCATTGTGCGCGAGGCCGGCGGCCAGGTGACGGATATTCAGGGCAAGAGGTTGGACTTCGCCGTCGGACGGACGCTCGCCAACAACAAGGGCGTCATTGCCGCGCCGGCTGCCGTGCACGGCGAGGTGTTGAAGGTTGTCCAGGAGGTGTTGAGCTCAAAATCTAGCTAAATCAAGAACGCAGAAAAAGAATAATAGTCAAAAGAAAGAAAAAAACCAATGAAAGATTTTTTGGAGTTTTCCATTTTGCGATTTTTCTTGGCTGTCTTGAAGAGACCAGCAGAATAAATAGTGTACAATGTTTGTCTTTTTTTCTTCTTCCTTCCCCGTACAGTGATATACAGCTATACACAGCCCTCCCAAAGCTCTGCCATCGACAACAGGGCCAAAAGAAGTGGCCAAACCATCCCCATACTCCCCCAACCGTCCCGTCCACGCGCGCAGCATCGTCTATTTGATCTTCTTCTGCTTCAACTTGATCGTCTGATCATCAATAAACACGCCCTTGCCCTTATACGGTTCCGGCGGCCTCCACTTGCGCACCCGCCCAGCGAAGCTCATCATCTCCTCGCGGTCAATGCTCTCCAACAAGATACGCGTCGGGCTCGCCGCCGTGACTTTGACGCCGCGCGGGATCCCCATCTCGACCGGGTGCGTGAAGCCGAGCTTCAGGCAGAGGAACTTTTGGCCGGGGAACTCTTCGAGGCGGCCTCGCTGCTCGACGGAGGCGCGGTAGCCGATGCCCACCAGGCGGAGGATGGCTGTGTGGCCTTCGGATACGCCCATTATGTAGCGTTGGAGGTAGGCCCATGTCGTGCCTGGGGGAGGAAGAAGGGGTTAGCGAGGATGTTTGGTCGATTGGGATGGACGCGACTCGAGGGGAAGACGAGCAGACAAGCTCCAGCTTCCTTGCCAAAAGGAGTAAAAAAGAGAGGGAAGAGAAAAGAACAGCAAAACGGTAAGAACTCACCCCACATCTCGCTCTGCTCCTTGATATTCGAGTCCTCCACGCTCAGAACCGCCGTGCTACCCTCGACATCGTAATCGATCTTCAGAAAAGGCGGAATCTCGAGGTCCAATTCACCTATAGCAAAACAAACACACCAATATTAGCTTTTCTTTCCTTTTCTCTATACCCCCCTTTCCCAACCACAAAGCTCTCTCTCTCTCTCCCCCTCCTTCTCAGACAAAAGGGGGGCGCGCAAAAAGGGCAAACGAACCCAGAGGTCCCGTAACGGTGACCGTTCTCTTGTAAATCTTCAGATAACTCGTCGGATCCTTCTTCAGCTTCGGCTCGCTAATGGCAAGCTTGACGCCGGGCGGGATCGAGACCGGTGTCCGCCCGAGCTTGGAGTTTCGTGTTGGTGTCGAGGAGAATTGGCGAGGCTGCTGTTGTTGCAGAGCTGCTGCTGGCGCGAGGAATGCTGCTGGTATCGTCGTGGCCGGCGAGGCGGCAAACGCCCGCCTCAATGCCGCCGTTCCGCGACTGGAGGCCAGCATTGTTTCGTTCGTCAATGAATGGCAAGCTTCACACCTCCCAATGGCGCGCTCGCTCATGTGCTCCTCGACAGATGGAATTGGGGACCCTCAGCAACTTTTCCACGTCTTAGTCAGCCATGCGTGATCCACAATCTGGATCCTTCCGATTGGCCCCTGCTTAGCCCCGGGAGGACAGCAAGTGTACCCAAGGTTATCAGCTGGAACGCAAGGTGAGGTACCGGTAGCTCAAGCTCACTGACTGCCGATTTTCAAAATTTGGGCAGTATAATTGACCAGTGTCACAAGAGATGGTATTTGAATAATTATGTTGTTTGTGCCAATAATTTGTACAGAGTAATCTCTGATTCTTCGTACTCATTTGATACGTCAGGCGAACTACTAAGAGAGGTATATCTAGAAGCCCATTTTCCGGCAAGGAGCCAGAATCGCGAAGCGAAATGCCACCACAGGTAGGTTGGCGTGAGTTCAGGTCATAATGACAGTGCAATCGGACTGCGCTTAAACCTCCTCCTCAAGAGGGACCTCCTCCTCGTACTCCTCCTCCTCCTCGTCAACACCAGCATCCTGGTATTGCTGGTACTCGGAGACGAGATCGTTCATGTTGGACTCAGCCTCAGTGAACTCCATCTCGTCCATACCCTCACCAGTATACCAATGCAAGAAAGCCTTGCGACGGAACATGGCAGTGAACTGCTCACCGACACGCTTGAAGAGCTCCTGGATGGCGGTAGAGTTACCGACAAAGGTGGAGGACATCTTGAGGCCGCGGGGAGGAATGGAGCAAAGGGCGGTCTGTACGTTGTTGGGAATCCACTCGACGAAGTAGGACGAGTTCTTGTTCTGGACATTGCGCATCTGGTCCTCGACATCCTTCATGGCGACCTTACCACGGCTAGAAACAAACAAGTTAGCATGTGTTCGCGTTCCAAAGTCATCGTATTGCACTTACAAGATGGCAGAGCAGGTCAGGTAACGACCGTTGCGGAAGTCAGAGGCAGCCATCATGTTCTTGGGATCGAACATCTGCTGGGTGAGCTCGGGAACGCTGACGGCGCGGAAGGAGTGGGCGCCACGGCTGGTCAGGGGAGCGAAGCCGACCATGAAGAAGTGGAGACGGGGGAAAGGGACCATGTTGACGGCCAGCTTGCGCAGGTCAGAGTTCAGCTGACCGGGGAAACGCAGGCAGGTGGTGACACCGGACATGACGGCGGAGACAAGGTGGTTCAGGTCGCCGTAGGAGGGGTTGGAGAGCTTGAGGGTACGCATGCAGATGTCGTAGAGAGCCTCGTTGTCAATGCAGAAGGTCTCGTCGGAGTTCTCGACCAGCTGGTGAACGGAGAGGGTGGCGTTGTAGGGCTCGACAACGGTGTCGGAAACCTTGGGGGAGGGGACGACGGAGAAGGTGGCCATCATGCGGTCGGGGAACTCCTCACGGATCTTGGAGATCAAGAGAGTACCCATACCGGCACCGGTACCACCACCGAGAGAGTGGGTGATCTGGAAGCCCTGGAGGCAGTCGCAGCCCTCAGCCTCGCGACGGACGACATCGAGAACCTGGTCGACAAGCTCAGCTCCCTCGGTGTAGTGACCCTTGGCCCAGTTGTTGCCGGCACCGGACTGGCCAAAGACGAAGTTGTCGGGGCGGAAAAGCTGGCCAAAGGGACCGGCACGGACGGCGTCCATGGTACCGGGCTCCAAGTCGACGAGGACGGCGCGGGGAACGTACTTGTTGCCGGAGGCCTGGTTGGGTGAGAAGGTCAGCATTCGTCAATAGGATTGCCTGCACACTCGGGGACTAGGATAACAAACTTCGTTGAAGTAGACGCTCATGCGCTCGAGCTGGAGCTCGGAAGTGCCGTTGTACCTGTGGTATGATTAGCTGTTGGGTCCATGGCTGGCTGCACTGGAGGACAAGAGACATACACGCCATTGCTGTCGAGACCGTGCTCGCCAGAGATGTTTTGCCTGTATCAAGGTCAGTACGAAATCGTGTCAAATGTCGAAATCGCCGCGTCGTTGGCGGTTGGCTACGCACCAGAAGGCAGCACCAATCTGGTTACCCTGTTCAAAGAAGTTAGCCCCGCACTCTGGCTTGTTGGGTCGAGATCAGGAGATACTTACGCACTGGCCGGTCTGAAGGTGAACCTGTTGCGAGAAAACAATCAATGGTCAGCGAAATGTTTGCCATACTAGAAGCGTTGGAGATGCAAGTCCGGCTGTGTTTGGCGAACATCGTTTGGGTGGGAATATCGGCGGGGTACGCTCAGGGGCTACCCCGAAATAGTGGCCGTTTGGACGCGTCGCAGAATTGTTGTGATGGGAGAGAGCGACTTACAATCTCACGCATTTTGGATGATGGAAAGCTCTGAAGCTAACTGGGCCGACGATGTACGATGAAGAGGACGAAGAGAGTTGCTCGAGAGCTAGGCGAAGCTTCAAGGCGAAGGGTTGTTGTGGAGGATTGGGCGAGGTAAGGTGTGGTTAGGTAGGGGAGGAGGTTGTTGATTTTTGTTTGCGGGTGGATGTGATTTTGCTCACCGCCACGGCTCGGTGGACGCCCAGAAGACAGGCCAGCGACAGGCCAGAGGGAAGGGGTGCAGCTCGCTTGTTTACTGTGGTGGTGCTAATCAGGCCCGTGCACGACCCCGATTGGGGAAAGACCAGTGCAAGGCACCCGCCCACGCCGCCCAAGTCTCCCCAAGTGGCCGCCCTAGTGGCCCCCAGTGCCCCGCCCAAAGACCAATTGGAAGTGGGGTTGAATGAGTTGAGGTGACAGCAGATTGGCAGACAGCGCGATCAGGTCAGGTACGTACTCCAAAGTCCCCTGTATTTCGTCTCCTCTGTCTCTCCGATCCGAGACCCGGGGTGACCGACCATCTGCTGAGGCATCCAAACATCCAACGACACGTCTAGATAAGGTGCCACGGATACCAACCACTCCAAAAAGAAGCCCGGGCATATAAGGCATGAAGTACAGACAAAGGTGACGGGCTCGGGAAACCACGGACTCTCTCTCACAATCGGAGCAGGTGCGGCACCGGCACCGGCACCGGGCAGCCGTACCGAAAGCCAATGTCAAACACAACAGCCACACGAATGACATTGCTCGGCACTGACCCCAAGCGCTTACCGAAAATGCTAAATTGCTAGTGGAGCTCAACATTTGCAAGGGGGCTCCATTGCTGCCAAATGAGCTAACGGTGTGCCTGAGAGCCATCAAACGCAGATCAACTTCATAAAAGTTCACAAAGTTCACTCAGCACCGGGAGAATAGATGACCGTTGACCGCAGCAAGTCCTTTTTTTTTTCTTTTTCCGTCGGAATAATTGTAGCTATGTAATGTATGACGGCCACGATATATCCCCTTAATGAGACTTGACAACACCAGCCGCATCGGCCTGGGCTGCAATTCTCTTCTTGTAGGCCTGGACGTCACCGGGGAATTTCTCAACCGTACCTCCGTCACACACCCAAAGGGAGGTGCATACTGTCTGCAACATGGTGACGTCGTGAGAAACCATCAGAACACCACCCTGGAACTCCTGCAAGGCCGTAGCGAGCGCGTCCATTGCCTCGATATCGAGATGGTTAGAAGGCTCGTCAAGAACCAAAATGTGCGGGTTAGTCAACGCAAGGCAAGCAAACGCCACACGCGACTTTTGACCACCAGAAAGCACCACCATCTTCTGCAGACCTGTCGTGCCCGTGATACCAAAGGCACCCAGTTGTCTGCGGTACTCTTCGTCCGTCCGGCCGGGGTACTCCTTGGCCATGAAGCCAACCGCACTCATGGTCAGATCCAGAGCATCAACGTGATGCTGGGCAAAGAAACCGACGCGCAGACGGGGGTTTTGCGAAATGATACCCGACGAGGCCGACAGTTTGCCGATCAACAACTTGAGGATAGTTGTCTTACCCGCACCGTTGGGTCCGACGATACCAATACGAGAGTCCAGTTGCACATCGAGATCCACGTTGCGCAGCAAGATATTCTCCTTTGTATAGCCGAATGTCACGCCTGTCATCTGGATGATAGGAGGCGACATCTTCTCGACATCAGGGAACTTGAATGACACGCTGTACTCCGTCTCGGGCGCCTCGAGTACTGGCATCTTTTCGAGTTTCTTGATACGTGACTGGGCTTCCGAGGATTTGGCAGCATTGTAGCGGAACTTGTCAATGAAGGCCTGAAGATGGGCTCTCTGGGCCATTTGGTTCTCGTACTCTCTCTTCGCAGTCTTCTTGCGTTCCTCGCGAGTGGCGTAGAAGGACTCGAAGTTAGCACCGCGGTAGTAGTCGAGACGCTGTGAGTGTTGGTGAATGATATCCGTCGCAATTTCGTTCAGGAAGGCTCTGTCGTGAGAAACCACGAGAACCGTGCTAGGATAACCTTGGAGATAGTTGGCCAGGAAAGCAATAGACGGGACGTCCAACATGTTGGACGGTTCGTCGAGAAGCAGCAGGTCGGGCTCGCAGAACAGGGCTCTGGCCAATGCCAAACGCATACGCCAACCACCGGAGAAGGTCTTGGTGGCATTCTGTTGCTTCTCTGCCGAGAAACCGAGACCAGCCAAGATACTTGCGGCTCTTGATTCAGCCTTGTCGGATTCCATCTCAGCAAGCTTGCCCTGGATGTCACCGAGCCTGCCATCTTGAGCTTCTCTTTCCTTGTCAAGTCTGGCGGCATCGGCTGCAGTATCAGCCATGCCCGCACGTTGGCTTTCGATCTCTGTAAGCTTCTGAGTGATTTCCTATACGGTTGTCAGCATGATGGCATGTCCCACAGGGAATTACAACTGCAAATCACTCACAGCCTGTTCGTTGAGAAGAACCTTGCGCCACACATCGGCATCAAGCACAGCTTGGATTGCAGGGGTATCGTCACCAGTAAGCTACATAGACATTAGTACACACCAGAGTTAAAGATGGCCGGCAATCATCCTTACCTCCTGTTCGACGTGAAGAATGGTAATGTGAGGCGGAATTGGCAGTTCTCTGCGAGACAGAGCACGCAGAAGCGTAGATTTACCAACACCGTTGTGTCCAACAAGACCATACCTGTGACCGTAGGAAAGGGTCAAGTCGGTATCGGTCACGATGCGCAGGCCACCAATGGAGACATCGATGTTGTCCAGCTTGATATCCTTGGTCTTGTTGGCGCCAGAGCCACCGATCTGGAGAGGATTGACAGCCATGTAGAATTCCTCGTATGACTGAGTAGACTCAGGCTCGTCAAGCAACCTGGAAGCCTCATACTCGACCGTCTTGAAGGTCTTCTTCTGCTGCTTCGCTGCAATCTTGCGCTCGGCCTTCTCCAGCTTCTTTCGATCAACCTTGGACTCAACTTTGCGGGCATTCGCAGACTCAAGATCGACAGCTCCTGTGGACACGGCCAGGGTAGACGACATGTTCCGCTGAGAGCTGACTTGAAAAGTCTCGTCAAGGCGTCTGACGGCCAACGGACCGCTTCGCAGTCCTCCGTTGGACTCGGTGTACTTCTCAACCCATTTTTCAACGAGTTTCTCGATCTTCTCCTGGAGCTTGGCGTCAGGCTTTCCGGAGGCAGAGAGCAACAACTCGGTAACGGTAGCGGCTGCCTCGGCGAGCGGTGACACGCCAGACTGCTCCTCTTCGTCCGAGTAGATTGTCGATGCGTGGGTCAGGTAACCGACCGAGTACTCGGAGAGCACCGGGTCGATGTTCGGCAAGACAGTTCTAATCTCAGCGTCCATGATGGCTACACAAAAGCTGTAAGTTTGCGATGGTGGTGATGGTAGGAAATTTTTGACAACAAATTTGTCAACGATGCAGAGCTATAGCTAGGCAATAGGCGACTTGAGGTGAGGCGAATGAGGTAGAGGCAAGCCCAGAATATTGTCACTTTGCCAGGCTATTGTATTGCAATTGCCTAATGACGACTTCACTTGTGATCCAGATGCGATATTCACGGCGAGCCTCAAAAATGTGGACCTTGAACCGAGTGCCCTGACCGGGCTTTGAGGTCTAAATCGGGATAAAGCTCGGCCCGTGAAGATGGCCTGCACCCGACTTGGACTTGCCCTGCTTATGTCACCTCGACAGCGTCCAGCGACTTCAGGCTGCTGTCTCAGCATCCTGACCAATGAGATGTATTGCAACAACACCCGTCCGCAGCACTGCTAGTAGGGCGAGTGCGAAGGGGAAGTGAATTCCTGCTGGCTACACCGAGTAGGTACTGTCCGTTCAGATAACAAGTTGAGGGCAGGTATCTGGTTGAATTGCACATTGTTTCTCAAACATTTCCGAATGATCTGCAGGCACGATACTCTGTATTTCAACGTCTTTCAACGATCGACTCAGACTTGTTGTCTCTCTCTTGAAGTCCCGACAGCATGGATACCATCGCCGATTGACCTGACACCGTGGAGTCGGCTGAGACAAACGGGCAGAACGGCAATCCTCGACGCTCTGCTCTGTACGGATACTCTCTAGACCGAATGGTCTATCGAATACGTTCTTATTGCCACCGCCATCACCGACATTACATCGCCGAAAATGGATGAAACCCAAAGTCTCAATTTGACATTGGCCAGCTGAAAAGCATTCGCAGAGCCTAGCCCAACCAACACCAGCGAATGGGGAGTCGCGGATCACCGAGCATCGGCCTGGGCACCCTGGGCCATCGACGCGACTTGCGGAGATGGACGAACAGCGTGTACGAAGTAATGTTTCGCGCAGCTGCATGTAATCGCGTTAGCTGTACGGAGTAGTACGCACGCGACGACCTGCAGAGGATCATCTATTCATTTGTTGCATGGCAACCAATCAGCCTCTGACACTAGGAGAGGAAAAAAGAGCTATCAACATGCGAGAGTTTTGAATGTCGTTGAGAGATTTGGCCCTGCTCACGCCATACCACGTCTGCCATGCGCTGGAGATCCGTCCGGGGATCCCAGTAGCAGGTTAAAGTTATTCCGATGTTCGATGCTTATTGCACAATCTGTGCAAACTCTCACCAGGGTGGACACGCGAGGACGAAATGGGACATCAACGCCGCAATCAGTGTCTTGGATGGAAATGAGCAATGGAGATTCCAAGGAGAAAAAACAAACGTTGAAATGAACGAAAACGACAAGGCGGCGGCAGCACAACAACAGCATCAACAACAACAGCACCATCGAAAACCTACGACCTCGTACACTACGGGCACGGCAGAGAACTTGGCCTCGCATCGGGTACAATTCCGCGTCATCCCATTCAGTCACGGTTCGGTCATTGTCTCCTCCTCACAGCTCAAAGCGGACCCTACGCCAACCGAAGTTCAATGTGGGATTCAATCCCCTAGTTCCGTATCACGTTGGACGCTGCAGTCAAGTGGAAACATCTGCCCACATTCAAGGCTGGACTCGCTCCTTCAAAACCTTTGCCCTACCAATACGACCACATATTGGCTCCTGTTCCCGCCCAGAGTCGCATGCAAGACAGATCGGGCAACCACAGAGCTTTGCTTTCAGGGTCCCCGGAGCATAACCTTGATTCCGATGACACTGGCGCGCAGTTCGTTCCTACATCTACCACCTTCTCTGTCCTTCCTCAATTGTTTCCTAGACCGGGGTACTCGTACTTGCGAGATGACAGACCAGGATCTATCTGACTTCCGCCCCTACCAACTGGCAACGGAACAGTGATGAGGTTGACAATAAGGGTTACGATGGCACGCGAATCACACCGAGATTTAAACTTCCTTCAACGGTGATCTTCCGTGTTGGGAATGGCCACATCCAGTTGACTTTAGCTACTCGACTCCCTGCGGGATTTCTCTGGGGCGGAGCTAAATCAAGAACACGCGCGCCTTTTTTTGATATTGGAGGCTCTTTGCCAGGCTTCCCTGCTCAGACTCCAAGTATGGATCAAGCATCCACCTCTGTCCCACTTTGGCGACTCTGCAACTGCCTATCGAGATTTCGTCATTGGAGTCTGTCGGCACCAGAACCTGTGCCTTTTTCTGGTTCGACGGCACCCGGAGAGTCGGAACGGCAGCGCCAAGGGGGGTCCCATCGTTGAGAACGTTTTCCCGTCTGGTTCGCGGGAGGGAAAGATTGCGGGCAGCACGATCTTCGCAAGCTCACATCCAGTCAACGAGGGAGCGTAGTAGCTCTGTGGCGAATGCTATGGTCCTTGGATGATGCAGAGAACTACATGCACGAGATTCAATGGCAGGTTTTTTTCTGACTTGTCGTGCAGGAATCTTGCAGGACCTGCAGAACACACTCATCAGCTGCATAGCTTTCCCCGGGAGTGGCATTAGGACAGGTTCCGACGCAGGCTTACACTTACTATGGAGTCTGCACAGGCGACCACCGGGACGTCGGCAGACCGGACCACAACTTGGCCTTGTCGCATTGCCTCTCGATTCCTCCCAGTCTCCCCTCCTTCCGAGTCTCCATACCGATTCCCGCGTCCTCGTACCGAACCCCGCGGACCAAGAGAGGCTATGATGGTTTCAAGTTTCACGCGGTTAAATGGACTAGCAGGGCAACAGTCCGTGTGGGATTTGTGTGCGCTGGATCCTCTGGTTCGAAGCCCCGAGCGCCATCGAACGTCCTCTCATAAACTACCGACCTCCTCCATTGGTCAAGATTCGATGCACACGTTGCGTGGCTAGCTTCGAAAAGTCGCGACTCTGCCTGGCATCTGGATGGATGGAGATCCCAACTGGTTCGAGGACCCCTGCTCTGCGGCTATTCTGCACCATGCTTTTCTTTCTTTTTTCTTTTTCCTACGTTTCTCAGATTGAACAAAGGCAGGTGAGGTGAGATGGAACTCATCGGTCCATCGGAAGCTCACCCCTATCCTAAGTTCTCAACTTATAACCCTGCTTGGTATCTCTCCGGGCCTGGGCGTCGACCAAGCGACGGAGCAAAACCTCGAAGCAATGTCTTGGCAGCTCCTGCTCGTCGAATTCGCTTACGGACTTAGTCGGCCGGCCGTGTGTGGTGCATGGTGCAGCTACCTCGATTCTTGTTCGATGAACCGAGGGAAAACACTCGATATTACCCTCCTTGCCTCGCCTCTCTCTTGCTGAACCTTGGAATATATGGGCAACACAATCAAAATCAGGTCATCTAGAAGACCAAGTTAACCTCATCGGGTAGCGCCAATGTATCTATCTAGCACCAGACGGCTTCGCTTCGTGTTTCTTTCATTGCCGGCTCTAGTTGGAACGGCCGCAAAGGCCGGCGATGCGGTAGCTTTGTTATTTCGAAAAAAGCTCGAAGCCGGCCACGCACTACCGAACATTTGCTAGTGCTTTCGTTCCGGTCCAGCTTAAGGCGCGGCGAGAAGGGTCCTCTACTCTAGCCTTGGACCCTTGACGGACTCATAATTCCATCAATGTCTTATGACCATGAGGTTGTTCGTCAAGCTCTCTGTGAACATTGGGAAAGAGGCGGTTTGGATCATTCTGTGTCACCTCGAAACGCTCAAGAGCTTCTCGCAACGGCAGCACATGGGATTGGCCAAGGCTTTGTCAGATCAACCCCCCCCCCCCCCCCCCGGTTCCCGAATCTCACGACAACAGGGGTCCCGGGGAGCGAGCTTTCCCGAATACGTCTTTCTTGTGCCATGCCGAGTTGCAGATGCAAATGGCGGGACACATCGTCGTAATTCGGCTCTGGTTTCTCTCTTTCTCCCTTTCCGATTTTTGCTGAAAAAGCTATAAAATGGGGCAGAAAGCTTACGCTAGAGCAACAAATGCCAAGTGAACGAAAGCCCTGCCCGCTAAAGCAAGCGCCGCCTCGGATATGGGTGCCGCATGAGGCGTTCGGGTTTGTGGTATGACGGGATGGGCGAAACTTGGAAAGTTTGCTGGCTAGCCAGGCGGAACTAGGTAGGAGGTAGGTATTCCCACACGTTTTTCCTTTCATTTTTGTACAAAGTACGGTAGGTACTCGAGAAAGAAAACATGGCAGTAGTGCGGGTGAGTACCGACACGAGGTTTCGCCGCAAACGTGCGTGCTCACTGCTCAGTGCTTCACAAACCAGCCGCCGGAATTTTGCTTGCCATCATCTTACTTTTTGCAGAAGATGGCTGGCGGGAGGATAGTACCCCGTACGGCGTAATGAGGCTCGGCTGGTGGACACCGTAGGCTCGCCGAGGGAAGTCGGAGTCGAGGAGCCTCACAGGAGATCGTCGTCTTGACCTTGTCTTGTCATTGTCACCCCTCCCCAGCTGGATTTGCCAATGGCATAAGCGGGGGTGAAGGACGCATTACGGGATATTTGTGTATCCCAAACGACAGTTCGAAAGGCGACATGCTGATTGGACGGGTAACCCTGAACGAAAGAGTGGTTCCCAAGAAGAAGGGCAGAAACATCTTCACCTACGGAGTACTGTGGCATTGCGTCGGTGGGGATGAGGTGGAGGGGTGACTGAGCCTCTCTCTCACCTCACTCGACCTAGGTATCTCGCCCACTGTTGACAACCACCGAGTAGGTATTCGTACGGAGGCGAGCGATGGAGAGATGGAAGGAGCGGGGTATGAAATGGAACGTCTAGGCAAGCTAAACTTTTCTGACGTTGGCTAGGACAAGGTCATTGAAAGTCAATAGCCCATCTAGGTCTTGTCTCAAGACATGGCATGCGGCATGCGCATGTTGAAACGACGTGTTCTGCGGTATCACCCAACAACAGCCAGGCAATGGATGTTTGTGACGGGCCTTGCGTCGTGGATCACACAGCATGGGGGAGGACCCCTTCCATTCTGGTTATCTGTAAGACTGTACCTGCCGGGGAGGATCGATCTCAACGTTGTGTCTCGTGGTGTGTGGTGTGAGGTGGTTGTGGTGGTGTGCCGGTTCGGGTAGGATGTTTACTAGTTTTGCTTTTTCTTCTATGTTGTTGTTTTGGTTTGTTGTCTTGGTTTGTTGTCGTTGTCAATGGCTGTCAAGCAACCACAACTCAAAACACAGGCCGGCAGGTGGCCCACCAGCCGCGGGCCCTTGCTCGTGGAAGGGTTCCTCTTTTGAGTCTTGAGTCCTACCCCCATGTCACCTCGTCACTGTGGGCGGGCGGGGGGGGGGGGGGGGGGGGGGTTCAACCGGTGGTCAAGACTCAGGTCCCATCCCATCACAACATCAGACCGGTGGCCAGCCAGCTGGGTCGGTCGTTTGCCTCTGGGGCATCATTTCTTCTTTAATCTGTGTTGTCTCGCTCAACCACGCGGCTTTTGATGATGGTCGCAACACAAGATCTTGGGATAACAACCAACATGCTGCACGCGCTGTGTATATGTACGCATGTGTACCAGGGTCTTACAGAGATCGCCAGTGGCAGCATCGACACCACGAAAGCGAGATACATCTCGCCCCGTGGCCTAGGTAATCAGATGAGATGACAAGAGAGAGGGGGGGGGGAGGAAAAAAAGAAAAGACAAAGGCCCCCCCGGCTTGTTGATGCATCGGACCAGCTGAAAGAATATACCGGGAGGCGGGGAACAGGACGAGGGCCACTTCCTCCGTGCGTAGTGCCGAACTTTATGGGCTTTGTGGCTGTCAGATGGAGTTGCATCGTCTGGTCTTTTCTTTGGAGACCTGTTTTGTTGGCCTGGCTGATCTCCAACACCGATGCTTCAGCTCCATCCCCCGCACACCGTACCACGAAAGCCCATTGTTTCCGGTACATGTAGTTCTGCTTGCTCCTCTTCACATGGCCGTCTACCGGTGCCCGGTACATGTAGCTTAGGGGTTGCCGTTGGCGAGTGGGAAGAGGCAGAGGAGTGCCTAGACTGATGGCGCCATTTTGGTATTGGTGGTGGAGGTGAAGACGACGGTTGCAGAAGAAAAAGCTGCTAAAAATTGAGCCGGTTCCTGCGAGATCCAAGGCTGTTCCTTGGTTGACTTGATAGGAAACGGTTCGCGGTGAGGTAGGCTTGGGATGCCGGTGTTTACGAGTTTCCTGTCGACTTGCTTCACGGTCCCCTCTTTCACCCTGCGGCCTGTGGCCTACGCACGCCAACGGGCAAGGAACAGACCGTCTGGACGGTCTTGTGCGCCTACCTACCAGATAGGCAAAGACGAGGACTCCTCTGCTTGTGTGAGATGACGTGGTCATGGTCGTACCGTACCTTTTTTTGTTGAAACCTTCTCCGAGGTGTAGTAGTCCAAGATGGTATTGTATGTCTCGAGATGAGGCAAGTCAACGGCAGACAGCGGCATGCTGGTGCCCATGGGCTGAATGGGCGAACGGCCAACGATAGTAACACGAGGCAAGGGCAAACTTGGCGACGCGAGTAATTATCGACTCTCGAGATGAGATGGGAGACAGAAACAGGCAGAGTTGCTGCAGGTGTCAGAAGTGAAGCGAGCGTGGCTTGACGCCGTGCAAACGTGGTCGGCGACACGAGCTGAGGATTCATAGGTTATGCTGTGCGCGGTACAATGTCCACAGAGGCAACAAGACAGAAAAGTGTCGAACTTGACGGGATGGGATGTCGCCGCCATGCGGCCTGTCTGCGAGTTTGATGGTTTGGGCGCAAGGTATCCGTACTCGTCTGTAGGTGTTCCCAACGGGTTCACAGACGGGCCCCATCAGTGCCATCCGCTAGCAATGGTAGGCTGCCGCTGGATGAGCCTGAATTAAAAAAGATGGCGAGCAACAGCAAGCAAGCGAGTGCTGCGGCGCTTCCGGGGGTCGATACGCCTGGGTTTCTCTCCGAGAGTGAGGGGGCGCTTCTCAGCTCAGGCATGGCCCCTGTAAAGGATGGTGTTCCGTCAGCTCTTTGAAAGCGACGGGAGTTGTTGTGGATTTCAGGAGTTGTTGTTACTGTTGCGCGGCTCCCCTTCGGATACACGTACCAATTGGTCTCTCCAAGAGTCCATGGCCATCGGCAAGCAACCACGCGAGAAGTAAGCAGAGTCAGGGAGGTGGGTTTGAAAGTAAAGGTGGTTCAAGTGAGACCAGGTTGATGTTGGCAACTTGGCAAGGCGAGAGACTAAAGAGTCCTAGACACGGACAAGCGTTCCGACTTCAACGGACGTGTGTTGAGCAGGGCCACGAGACGGTGCATCCATAAGGTAGGCAGTCAGTCGGGTGCAAGACTGGGGGTCGCTGTTCACTGCTGAAGTGTGCCAAGGACGCGAGATAGCAGGTCTCAGCCGATCTCGCGCTAGGACCGGTGGTGTTCTTTCGGTGTTTCTTCTTCCCACGCACCCACGGTAGCCGGATTTCCCAAGCCTACGTTGGCTCGGCTGGGCTCTGGGATAGCCTCTTGGTGAAGTGGCAGGGGGCTGGCACCGGTGGTCTGGTGGCACTCGAATGGCGAGGGTACTCTGTGAGCAGTGTAGGTAGCATCCGTACGGATTAGAGCTGGACTGTTTGGGGTTGTTTGGAGAAGAGGAGAGGCGGGCATGGAAGCAACAAAGAAGCATTGAGGCTTGAATAGAGGCTGGACTCGAGTCAAGAGTGTTGCAGAGCGGGTTTGTTGAATATTCTGGGTGGCGGCTATAGCAATGGCATGCCGCAATGCTTCTTTGGGTATCCGTAACCGTACTCTTGTTAAATTTGTATTAGGAGTAGGTAGAGAGAATGTGGACGGGAGGATGAGAAGCGGATGAGAAGTGGAACATGGCGGCTGGTTGGCGCTGCCTCACCATGCTGGAAGTTGCGTAGCGGGCGAGGAGAAGGAGGAGGAGGAACAAACGAGACGAGGACAAAGACAAGCAGCGGTCCGTTGCAGGAAGGATTCCGTCGGGGCAGTTGTAACTTGTGACTACGTTATGGAAGCTAGGTAAAGCGTGGAAAGCAAGTGAGGTACTGGTGAGGTGGTTTGCTCTTGTGCCGGGCCGTGTGCTCAGTCTTCCATGTTGGCTGTTGGCTGTTGCGGTGTGGTATCGACGGATTGAGCGTGTTATTGCCCGGGTCAGCATGGGCAGGTTGTGACAAAAAGGAAAGAGAGTCAGTCGTAGACTACAGGGTGCCCGGTGTTGTGTACACAGTAGTGAAGGGAGTATTAAAGTGTATTGTATGTAGGAATAGACAGGAGGCGTTGATTAACGGTGGAATTAATTGTCGTATTGTGTATAACATTGATGGCGGATGGATATTGAGGTACAAGAAGCGTGTACTGAACAAGGTGTGGAAAGCAAGTACTTTGTATCTCAGATGCATTGGAAGACTCGGTACATTCTAAGGTAGGCAGGTTGGAAAGGTGGAAAGCAAGGAACGGTCCAATGGGTGGTGCAGGACATCACAGGCAGGTCCCCTGGGCGCGGCTTGCAGGTCCGTCATTTCAGCAGGGCAGCGACTGGCTCGGAGAGCTCAGCAGTCATCTCCTGCTGCTCCACGCGTCTACGGCTACTGGAAGGAGAGGGCCACTTGGTGACCCACTCGCCGTCCCAGGTACCTTATGCACCTGCAAACATGGATAATGCCCTGAGGGTGGACCTGTCTCCCTTGCACCTCAAGGCACCTTAGCACTTTACGCAGTAAATACTTACCTGACTGCGAATAGTTAGCAGCCATCGACGCATCTCTGCTCTTGCGCAAGAGGTACCTTTCCCAGCCTGTACTTCCATCTTGAGGTACCTCCACTTCCCTAAGGTACTGTATGTACATGGCAGCAGGTACCTTAGCGCAGGTATTGGCCCGCCTGCCATTCCCCATTCCCCCAATACCCCACTTCCTCTCATTCTCCCATCTTTCTCTCTTTCCTGTGTGTCTGTGCCTGCGCATCTGCCATTTCCTGCTTTTGTTTATGAAAAATTACAGAGAAAAAAAAAACACAAGAAAATTAAGGCAGAGGAGAGGAAAAAGAAACGAAAGTCAAGGAAGGGAAAGAGAGCAGTAAACAATACACAAAAGACAAACCACAACTACAGCAACGCTCTCAAAACACAGAACCAAACAGTAATACAACAACTACTTCGTACGGATTCAGACAGACACAAGCAAAAGAGAAGACTTACTCGGTCGAATCTCTGTCACCTTGTCTCCCCCCCCCCTCCTCGGCTGCCCCCTCCACTTGTCCTGGCAAGCCTTGTCTGGGTCTCCAAATTCCCGATTCCTCTTTTTGTTCTCCATTATCCGTACCGTACCGACCTATCCATCCACCCTCTATACTCGGTTTAGCTGCCAATTCCTCGACTTGTACTCTGCCATAGCACACAGAGACTGCTTTGTGCTCTTTACTGCTTTGCATTTGCATTGTTTTCCCTCACATCGTCCATTCCTCTTTGACCTCTCCCCGAACCTTGGACTTTTAGACCAACCCAGCACCGACCAGCATCAGCACCGACACCTTGACCTGGACCCGGACTTGGACCTTGACCATCCGAGAGAACGAATGAACCAACTCCCACGGACACCACACACCACACACACCTCACCACACCAAAGTCGCCCACCCCGTCCACCCCGTCGTCCACCCATCCACCCATCTATCCATCCATCCATCCATCCCGTCTCCAATTCCACCCACCTTGCTCTCCTCCTCACCCACTCGAGGAACTCGCCCTCACCTTACCTTAACCTACGCCTACCTCCTAATACCTACCTACCGGGACGGGACCTTACTTCACCTCACCGTGTCCGGGTCTGGCTTGATCTGACCTCTACCGCCTTCAACCCGCTTGCGCGCTTCCTCCTCCTCCTCTTCCCTTCTCTTCGGTCCCCCCAGCATCCTTTTCCTTTCCATTCGCCTTCTATTCTGGTCTAACGGGGGGTTTCCTAGACCCATTGGCCGTATTACTTGATCGTCCGAGGGCCAATCCGTCTGTGTGAGATCACGGTCGCTCAACTCGTGTGCGGTTCTTCTTTCGCCCTACCGATACAGCCCTTCCTCTGTCTCGGGCCTCACTCTCGCTGTTCAACCAGACAACTCACCTCACGTCCACCACCAGCTTAACTCGTTCGCCCACGGCCTTGTCTAGGATTCCTTTACTTCGATTCAACCTTGCGCCCCTGTTCTCTCCATCTTCTCTGTCTCTCTCTCTCTCTCTCTCTCTCTCTCTCTCTCTCTCTCTCTCTCTCTCTCTCTTTCTCTCCCTCTCTCTCTCTTTCTCTCCCTCTCCCGGAATCCGTTCTTCTCTGCCCGCCGAGACCGCGACACCGACATACACAACCCACGCCCACCACTGCGAGCCACTCACCTACCCACCCACACCTCTCAAACCACCAAGACTCGACGCGCATTCCTCACCATACGACCCGAGAAATTGGCCCATATGTCTTGACGATGCTCACCACGTCTCTCGAGAGCATCCACGACTCTTTCGCCCGCATGCCCGTCTTGGGCCTCGTAGCTTGGTTCTCCCGTGTCGAATAAGGCTCTACAATCATGCAGACCGTTCCCAGTGTAAGTTGGATTGCCTTCATGCTTGCTTACTAGCCTTTGCCATCCACCCCGACAGGCATCCCCCCAACACCTGCTTGGATCACAACCACCGGATACTATGTTGCGCATGCTTTCTTCTCCCGTAGACACACCAATTCCCGCCCTATATGGGTCTTCCTCATTCCCCATTATACTCCTCCATTCCCATACCTCAGATCTCAGCACCGGTGTCCCTGATATCTTGCCCTTCTTTGCCTGGTTCATCCCATCTTTCCTGCTGACTCGTCGCCTCATTAGCTCGTGGGAACTGGCACTGCCGTTGCTGCAGCGGCTGTAGGTCTAGTGTTTGCTCATCCCGACGATTCGAGTTCCACACAGTCTTCTTCCAACAGGAGGATACTGGTCTCAGACCAAGACATTCCTCCGAATCATCGACTGAGCAGCCCTCCCGTCTCCTCCTCACGGCCCGGCACCAGTTCTGTTGCCCAGTTGCCGACCCTCGACAACGACGCACGCTACACGGCACTTCCCACCCACTTCTCCTTTACCTCGAACTCGAACTCGAATTCAACCCCGAACGACGCCCCGGCCGAACCCTCTGCGCGCCCCCGCCGTCCTCTCAGCTCCCACTTCAACTTTGCGCCTTCCATATTGCACAGTCGGAGAGCGTCCTACGTGAAGCAGGGAGACCAAGCTGCGCCCTCGGTCAATGAGGATACGAGAGACTCTGTTTCCTCCAGTGGGTCCTGGATGAGACGCCTGTCACTACGGCCTTTGTCACAACACGGAAGCATCAGGTCTAGTTTGGGTTTCGACAACCAGTCTGTCACTTTCTCTCACGGTTCCGCTG